ACACAAGGGACATATGTAACAGTAACATTTTTATGATATACCTACCCAATAAAAGCTTTTTCAATTTTGTTATTTTGACAGGCATATTCCATTAATATATCCACAACAACCATGTTCCTTTTCTTCAGAATGCAGGAGAAGAGAATTATTAAAAATTACAGTCAATGCTTTTATACTCTTAATCTCTCCAAATTCACTTTACAATTGCTGTCAACATCAATAATGTCAGAAAGTACAATCAGGTTTGCACAAAACATCTCAACATGGATATCCTCAAGAAGGAATTTTCTTTCCCTGCCCAGCAATGCAATTGTATTGTTGGGGAGGTCTTTTCTATCACAAAGAGAATTCCAAATGCATGTGGAAAAGCCAGGTGCTGTGTGGTAGCCCTCTTGTGAGTGCCTTCATCCAAATCCATTCTCCTTACTGTACTTTGCATTTCAGAGAACATTTGGTAAGTAATGTGTGGACTGGGTCTTCCAGAGATCCAGAGGAGATTTTCTTTAAGAGAGGAGGGAGCTTAAGGTTCATTCTTACAGTTAAAGCTGGGAACCTGGCCTTTGCTAGCTTTGATAGCTGGGGCAAGGACAAATTGAATCCTTTTGGAAATCTACATTTCCATTAAGGTTTTATGGGGGGGGAAAAAAAGCACATTATCTTCATGTATACTGACCTTACATCAAATTTATAGCTACTGATTTTGTCTTTGATTTTACTGGTAGAATTTCTGTTAGGTTCCTTTAAAGTCAAACTAAACACCCAGGGTTTGTTGCCAGTCTCCAGTGTGTTATTCTAGCAATTCTGAGCTGTCACACACAGATAACTGAGATACAAGGGTATTTCTATCTAAAATCAAAAGTGATTGAAACTGGGAAATGACTTTTATGCTACAAATGTCTGTATGGGTTTCCAACAGTAAGTTAAGTAATGATTACTTAATAACACCAACTTTATATTGAACAGGGTACTTTCATCCTTTTATATTCTGGCATTTCCTAAACTCATTGCAAATATCTCTGATGGAGGAGACGTGTAGCAGAAAATGATTCCAATGTTTGAGCAATAATACAACATCAATTGCATAGATGCTCCATATTCTTAATGTGAGTGATGAACCCCTCATCCCAGCCCAGGCAGAGCCTCAAGCAGATAATCTGATTCCTTTTTTTCTTAATGCCCAGTTTGTAAACTGCGTGATAGATACTTCACAAATATGCATATGGATATAGATCAAAAGGGTGACTGCACACGTTGACAGGACACTAATTAAATTGATCCACAGTTAATGATTTATCTATTCAGAGCTGTTAATTTTGCAAGCGATAAGATAGGCTGCCTTCCTTTTTTTTTTTTTTTTTAATTAAAGAGGCACTGGTACTGTCTATCTCCTCAAGACATTGAGTGCCACCTACTGTGCACTCGCTTCCTCTGTGCTGACAAGAATTCATAATGCTGTACATGCACACAAAGAGAATATTCTGCTGTAGTACAAAAAATTGCTCCTCTGTCAGAGACAGTCTCTCAATTTTGACCTGTGATGATGGAAAATAGTTTTATGGGGATCTCTTTCAAAGAGTGAGGGGCAAGAAAGGAGAATGCATGTAAATGCTTTTGGGGAATGTTGGTGACTGAGAAATAAGTGTTATGAATTATCTGAAAAGGAAGTGGGTATGAGGAGGTTTGAAAGCAAATGCGTGTTCTTTATTTTTGTGAAAACTGTAATGGATGTATAAAAGTCTTTAAGTTGATTTCTTTTTTTTTTCAAGTTAGTTTACCTCTTAGTAAAGCAATGGAAATTGTTCCTTTTAGACTGATGAAACCAAAACTATTCCTAAGGCCAGAGGAGTCCACAACAACAGGAGCTGCACAGTTCCCTCTTAACGGTCTCTGGCTTAACTGGTTTAGATGAGAAAAGGATCTTTTTTTAAGACTTCCTAGAACCGTACTCGGATAAATAAGAATATAGTTTCTTTACTTAGATTGGAACACTACACAAGTCCTCAGAAAGTGCACTTTCAGATCTTGATTTCTGTTGTTTAGGAAGGCTTTTGTAAGGCCGAAAGCAACAGCATCTTTCCTTCCTCTATGACTGCCCACATGCTGCTCTGAGTATTATTACATTTTATCGTAACGTGCCTGAAAAAACAAGAAGTAGGTCAAGAAATTGCCAGGTAAATGAGTTAATATATAAACCATTACTAAAATCAAGTGCTATACAACTGAGTATTTTCTGTTTAACTTTGAGACAGTAGAGTCAGTAGAATTTGGTGACATTAATGATTACAGTTCTGAGATTTTGTTACCACGGTGTGTTTTTAGAAAGAAATCCTTTTAAGATGTAAATTAACTTTGTCTTAGAATTTTCCTCATCACACTCTCAGTCAAGCAGTAATCATTATTTATAGGCATTTTGTCAAAAAGATATGTTGAGCTGCTAGCACAACTCAGAACATATTAAGTATTCCCATAACAGCTACCATCATCTTTATTTTGGCCCTAAAGTAGAAGTATTCAATTTCTGCTATGTCTTTAGTACTTTAGTATTCAAAACTTTTTTGCAATGATCTTAACATGAAGGCTGGTAATACTGGATTTGTCCCTGCCTTTGGACAGCCCAATTCCCAGCACAGTGCAAAGTGCCTGCAAGCCCTGCTTGCTCCTTCCTTCAGATCTCAAACCAAGTATAGCTCAGCTGCTGGGGTAGAGTCCCTTTTATACACACAAACATTCATTAGAATTTGTTTCTGCAATAGCTACCAATGAAGACTGCAAGACAAACAGGCATTTCACCTAATTCTCCAGATTCGTCTCTGTCTTCTGGGTTTGTAGATCTAACTTGGGTTTTTAGAGGCAGCCAGCAGCAGACTGGGCTATTTTCTGAAATCAGATTGCTTTCTCAGGAAAAGGAGCTGGGAATAAAGTCTGTGAGGCCTTGGGGCAAGACCAGAATAGAGATGCTGGGCAAGCATTTCTGGTTGGATGAAGAACTGTTGAATAGATGAGATCAGGGAGCTGGCAAAAAGGAAAAAGAGCAGGTGAAAACACGCTTTAAGTAGGCACTTGTGATTGTAAATCTACAGTGAAATCGGTGTTCCCAAATACACAAAGTTGAATTTTCCATTGGGGAATATTGTGTAAAGTACCCATAAAATAGTCCCTGGAAGGCAGACAACAGATGTTATGGCTACAGAACAAAGATGCTATTACTGTAAAGAGTAACCATTTTGTGCTTTCTGAAGTGAAAGACAATTGTCAATAAATTAAAGTCAGAATTCATAGTAGAGCACAAGGAAGTCAGACACTCAAATGCCACTGAACTTCATATAAGCAGGTGAGTGCCTACATCCTTTAGGCTCCACTTGTAAACCCTTCCCTGAAATTATGAATCTGTCCTATAAATAGAAAAATCTAATAGATTGAAAGAAAGGTTTGCAATAAAGTATGGATCCATCCTAAATCCTTTGTTCGTGAGCTGATGATCAATATGTATTAAATATACAAAGCTCTAATGTTTAGCACGTCACTTTGACATTGAACTGTTTTTACTTCTTAATTTAACTTTATCTTTTTTTGTTGCCAACTATTTAGATCAGCTCTTCTCTGAAGTAAGAAAAATAACTTTATTTATTCTATGGTTGTTGGCTCAGTCTGTAGGCAAGGTTTGTAAATCCGCATCTTTTTGCTTACAGGCAAATCCCTCCTGTAGAAGAATTGCAAAGTTTTCTGCTTAGACATTTGAAGTGCATCTTGAGCTTCTAACCTCACACTGCAGTGAAATTTAGAAAATGAACTGGAGTTGGTTTTGATTTTAGCTAAATTTCAGCTTTTCAGCCTTCAGATGTGAATTACACCCAAATTTATTTTTGTTTATTCCTGTTTAGATTTCAAGAAATACTGCTTGATACTGCCATGTTTAAGAATGTCTGAGTAAGAAACTGCCAAGGTTCTTCATTCTGTCTCGATTTTTACAGTCCAAGCCTTTTCAACTTCTGACGGCACTGCAAAATTTCAGTTTCTTTTTCCGAACTCTGTGAGGTTGTCTCCTTTTAAATGTATATTTCCCCAAATATCCTCTTTCAGCAAGACCTATAGTTCCTCCTGTGTAGTGGCAGCTGCTGTAAACAGCATGTCCTGGTCACAGGCATGGATGTTCTGATCAAGGAACGTATGGAACCTCATTCTCTCAGTTTGATTCATTTGAGTACTCTGGCTTTACTAGAATCACTCCTGATTTACCCTAAAATAACAGAAAGATCAGGCACTAGCATGAGAAATCCTTTCCAGTGTAGGTAGAAATAAGAACTCACTTGTCACTACTGCTTTCAAATGAATTTCTAAATGAAAATACCTTTTATACTGTCAGTAATGTAACGCAGAGATGACAGGTTCTGTTGGTTTTCCATCAGTTACAGTCTGTGTCAGCAGCTTTTCAGGATCTGAAATACACTTTGGTTCCTATACTAAAAGCCCATTTTTTATGTTGGCTTTTTCCTAGGAGCAATGGTGAGTGCTTGTGCCTTGTAATAAATTTGCTGTTCTTTTTTCATGTAGAAATCTGCAATGTGTTCTTAGAAAAATGTGTTGGTAAGGTTTCCACAATCAGCTTCAATTCTTTTGTGTCTCTCCTAAATGCAGTTCAATTAGATAGGTTGATGGTGTTTCTATCGATCTAAACCAAATTCTTGGCAAGACGTCAGGCTGACCTGGGTGAGTTTGTGTTTTATGGTAGCCTTTGCTATAGCTAATATTTCCTAAGCTACATGTTTAAAAATCAAAATGTGTTTTTTCAAATGTAAGGCTCCTGTTTTTGGGTAGATAGAGGCTATTTTGTGCAGGAAGCAAATATTACAAGGTAAAAAAAATCCTTCCACAGAAATTCTGCAAAATATGTTGGAATCTTTTTCAAAAGTTCAGGTAGTAGTTCTGTGTCTGACTGTTACTGCTTTCATTGTGGGAACATCTTGGAACCATAATTTAAAGACTAAAATACCTTCTTTCAGGTACTACCACGAAATAAAAGATGACAACAGCCCATACAATATTTATACTACAATTCATTGATGTTTAACAGAGATCAGGAAGGAAGGTCCAACCACTGCACAGTTCTGGAAGAAATAGGTATGCTTAATATTTTTCTTCTCTTTCTCACAATATGCTCATTTCTTATAATCCTGGACATTTTACCTTTATCTGTTCATTGGATCTAATTCAGAACTTACAAATGTGCTGCTTGCCTTGCCTGCTGAGCTGAGCTGTTGCAGCTCCCAGCTGATGTGCAGCAGCACTACTAACCCAGCTCCCTGTAAGGAGGGGCTTGGTAAATGGCTAGGAAAATGAATTTGGAGACCATCAAGATCATTTTCAGCAGAATTTGACCCAAGGTCTGTGGAGAGTTACTTGTTTAATTGTGTTTCTTCATGATTTCATTTTTGGACAATATCCTGAGAGCAACAGCCATCGTATTCCAAGTTAATAAATTTCATACTAATCCCAAGGACACTCTTATTGTAAAGTAATACACTAAAGACTTGACACTATCAAATGTCTCCTTGAACCACAATGTGGGCATTTAAAAATGTTGAAGGAAGAGGAAGAAACTATTCTCTCCCTGATTTTGTTCTTCTCTGAAGTATCAATTACTGCAGTGTGCAAAGCACCTTCATTTCTAATGAACTGTATAGATTTGAATACTGAAAATACATCTTGTAGTATGTAAATTGCTTATGAGGGAAGTTGGTATTCAGAGCCAGCTGGAAGGGTAAGTCCTCTTTTTGTGATTATAAATGGTCGTTTGTGGTGTGAATGGATCTCCTATATGCACTACGATTTTAGAAACTAAGACCTTTTGAAAACTGAATGGAATGAAATGAGCTGCACAAAATATAAACAAATACAGATAGAAAAAAGTGTAGACATTTCTTACCAGACATTGTTACTATCTCTTTTCTGAAACAAACAGCAATAGAACTTATCTAACGTACATAAACTAATCTGAAAGAAAGATCCACAAATATCTGTTCAAGGTTTTCATATTTGTCTCCTGATCTTCCTTTTTTGAGTATTTCTGCATAGCCGTTAAACAGCACTTTCCTTGCAAGATGCTGATGTGGAAGTCTTAAGAAAAAAAACTTCTTCCCAGTGACCACATCAAAATATGAATCCTAAAGGGCCTTTTTCGTTTTCCCTTTTTGCTACTGGAAGGTCCATAACTGGCTTAGGTATGCCATCTTCAGGATATCTGCAGAACTATTTTTATGCAGAAAAATCTTCTATTGAGAAACATTAGTAATTATCAGTGCTCTGGAATAATTTGCTAATTGCTTCCCAGAAGTAATTTTCTTTCTTATTTTATAGAATTTAGAACAAAGCAAAAAGTTCTGAATTATTAATAACATATCATATTTAGCATTTATGAATAATCAGTAGGTTGCACCAAAAGGTCTTTTGTACATGTGGTCCCAACAGGCAAAGAAGAAATGTAGAAACATATCCTTCAGAGTAAGACATGCTTTGTGAGCCTGAGACTCAGATCACTACCCATAAGGCAACAGGAAAAGCAGGCTCCTACCCCCAAGACTCAAGCAAATCAAAGCAGGCACCTGAAATGCTAGATATTGGAGTTTTTCAAGTGTCTTCTCTTTCTTGAGAAATATACCACTTCCTAAGAGTCACATCTTCAGGCTAGAGTGAAGTAATTACAGCAAATATGCATTATCTTATTCTAAACATCAAGAAATTGCCAGGTCAGCTTGCTGTGTTTTGCTGGCAGGGCAGGAACACTGAGGTTTCCATTTTGAACTCTTCTCATCAGTTTTGAAAAGCATTAAATAATGAGCATGGAGAAGGCAGAAATGGCACAAGGATGTGGTGGTGCAGCAGCCATATCCCTGTTCTCTGTGTCCTCTGGCTTTTCCCCAAGCAGCAGCTTTCCAAATGCAATTAAAGAATAAGATGGAAAACCACATTAGAAAGGCATAATTCTCTCTCTGTTCTCAGAGTTCACAGCATAGCATGTCAGTTAACAAAGGAAATGTCCATTTTCATTTTCTGCAAAGGTAAATAGTGGCTTTTGAACTGAGTTGAGAAACTTTTCCAGTACTACAGGTGCTCTATCAGTTCCCTCCTTCCTCTCAGCAGACAGGTAGAGGAGCCCCTAGCCAGGCCCTCTATGAAATATCAATCCAACATTCTATTACTAAGCATACATGTGAAGCACAACAACTCCTAAGGCTTTACTGGAAGTGACAAATTGTGGCCCACCCAGCATGTGGCTTACTCTTCACTCATAAAAACTCTTCTCACTCGCTTGTCTTTTAAATTACTTCTTTTAATAGCTTAATTGGGATAAATGTGTCCTTTAGAAGGGAGAAATGATCCTAAAATGGCTCAGAAAAGGCTCAATTACAATTCATACTCCTTCTCAGCAGAACAGAGGAAATAGCAGGCAGGGAATACGTTTTATTTTTGAGACAAAAAGATTTCATAGATTTCATTACTAATGTGCTGACATGCACTCTCTATAGGGTCTTCCTGTGATCAGTCTCTCTTGTTTCCTTTTAAACTGGGAGGCAGAACCTCAGCTCCGGTGTGATTAATTTCCCCTTTCCTGATTATATGTCATTTACTTTTAAGTAAGGTTTTTATAAATGAGGCAAAACAAAGACAAAGATGAAGATTGTGCGGAGATAAACATTTGTGCTGCTGGGACTCCCACTGACTTGGGCACAGCGGGGGCCAAAAGTAATGGGGATTCACAGGCATGGTGATTAGACCTCTCACTGCGAACAGGTAATTGAAACATCGTAGCCCATCACCAGCATTTAGGAGGTACTGTGAAGATACTTGGTTTAAAGCACACTCAATAGAGGCTTCTTACACAAAGCACAAGCTCAGGCCATCAGTACTATATATTTTTGTTTGCATGCACAGCACTCTTGTGATGCCACCCTGGCACTGACCCCTGAAGAAGGGCAATTTTCTGCTGAGATTTCTGTAGTCAATGCATGAGCTGTCTGCTTGGCACTGGGGGGGCATGAGCAAAGGGGCCTTGAGATGATCTCACTGAATGTTTTGGTGTTTGTAAGCATGACATGCTGTAGGCTCAACAGAACTTGTATGGAAGATGTGCTATAGAGCCACAACACAAGTCTGCGTGAACACTACACACACAAACAATACTTTCATTATTATTTTTAATCTTGCATAATTTTCAGTGGAAATAGCAGAACGCAGCTCTAATCTTACCAGTGTGGTTCCACTTTGCAGCCATCTTGCTTGGCACTGCTGTGGATTTGAAGTTTTCCATTCAGAATGATGTGTACAGGGCTGTTCGCTTAAATTAGTGGTTTACTGTGTAAAGAGATCTTGCTGCTGGCTTTTAGGGAAACTTAGCTGACTTCTATTCAACTCTATTCTCCAATCACATTTGACTGAAGTTTCTAGCCATGTATTATTAGTGAATAACATCTTACAAAAGTGTAATTTATTGTCTAAGTAAACTTTGGAGCAAAAGAACAGTGCCTTTGATACCGGACTTAGTGTGTGCCTCAGGAGGAACCTTTCTGTTTTAGCACAGAAGTGGAACAGAGCAAAAGTAACACTGTGACTAATTCCACTTCTTATGTATTTCTTACCTGAGGGCAGAACACTTTAAGTTTTCTTTCCTCATTTGTGTTTTGTAGCACCAATAGTCCCCATGCTGAAACTGCTGTCAAACTCGTACCAACCACGCTGCTTAAAAGTAACACATCTGTGGGTCTCATATAGTGAAAATTCATACCATCCCTTCTTTACAATGCTACTTGCTTTATCAGTGATGCCTTACCTTCAACTTCGCAGCATGTTTACAGTGATGTAATAACGCCAACAGCCGCTAGATGCCGGCACGAGCATGCTAGCACTGAACGTGTGCCTGTTTCATAGTTCGGATGCCATTTACCTTTTATTATGGTTCTTTCTTTCTTACGCACCCCCCAAAGGGTTTTCTGCTTTACTAAATCCATAGCGATGTAACTGCTCTAAAACCAATGTCTTCTGCTACAGGAAAAAAAGCTATTATTTAGGGATGTTCTCAGAGCAGCTGTTGTTTCTTCCAGAAGCTATCTGAAATTCAGGGATGAGAAAGTAGTGAAAGAACAAAGAGCTCCAGTTCTGCCCAGCTGAAAGGGAGAACCTTTCAGGCAATCTGTTCTTTCACATGCCAGACTGAAGGGCAGAAACCAGGACTGGGAGGCTGTTCTGAGGGGTTTATTAACATGACTTGTAACAGGGGAGGAAAAAAAAAAAAAATCAATAGCTGTAGTTACACTGCATTACAGCTATTCCAGAAGAAAACCAAATCTTTCTCCATTGTCAGATGGAACAGAAAAATGAAAATGAACAGATTATTATGTAGAACTTAGATGGCTCAAAGCAAAGCTCAGTGCTTTGGTGTTCATCTATGAGGATTTGTAGATATGGATGGGGCTGTATCATCTGTTTTTATTTTTGTTTTTCTGATTATCATTTTCTTGTATGATTGCCCACAGAGGACCCTTGAAATGCTTAAAAATTACAAAAATAGTAAAGCAAAGGGACTTTCAGAAATAGGAAATGTCATTTTTTTCTCTGAATTTCTCTCCCTTTCCTCCTTGATTAGTCTGAGCTGAATATATGAACACACAGTGTGAAAATATTTAAAATGCATTCACCCACCTATAGTATCAATACAGGAATGTGGCTAAAAAGTACCTCTGCAAGCACTTACCTGTATGCCTTTGCTGCCTAACTGAAATTATAACAGAGAATACGAATTGTATTGATCAGTGCATTCTAAATCTGAAAACTGATTATATTTACATACATTTGCTGCCTTAAGGGCACTATTATAAAAGTGACTGCCACGTGGAGTAGAAGCAATTATTTTTTAACCAGCTGGTTTGATCAGCAGCAGGAACATGGCTGAGGTCCCTGAGTGAAGAGTTAATGCTGCAGTGAAGGAATTTTCTACAAAAAAGAATTCAGAAGTGCCATCTTGTGGGTAATGAAAAAACTACAGCTAAGTAACCAGTAGGCAGCATCTCATTTTTAATGTAGTTAATAGGCAGTAATTTTAAATTACAAGATCACTTTCCAATGAAATTTTCAGCAAAAATAACCACAAAAGCTTTGAATGAACAAATGATTACCAACATCAAAACCTGGACTCCAAAAAACTGGCCTATTTTAATTATTTTTCTTGAGGAAACCCAATAGTAATTCCAGTGGAGCAATAAAGAAAAGACAATGTTTCAAAACAAGGGCCAAAAAAAAAAAAAAAGAGTACATTACTATATCAATTCCAAAGAAGGTATCACATACCCATTTAAATAAGTCAGCCGAACTATTCTGAACCTTCTAATAAATTCCTTTAAATGAGAAATACAAAAGTTACCTCAGTCAACAATAAGTGACACACAAGAAAGGACAGAAGAATAATAAAATTGCAGCATAATTAAGGAGGATGAAGTCAAACAAGACATTTTAGTACAGGGATATAAGCATAGTTATCCTGTGCACATTATTCCCCTCTTCCATCACATTGCACAGGTCAGAAGCAGATGACAGAAGGGTGTTGGTAGCACATGTGCAACAGAACTGCAGCCACAGCATCCTGGAAGAGGTGCTCATGGGAGGTAAGAGCTCCTGCTTCTGGACACCTGTTTTTTGCTAAACTCAACTTAGAAAAAGTACTGCTGAATCTTTTGGCCTCTTTGAGAAGTACTGTAATTCCAGTACACCGAATTTGTACCAGCAAAGGTAATCTCCCATTTGCAAAGAGAAATGCAATCCACTTAACCATCGAGTGGCCATGCTGTGATTCAGCATGCTGAACAGTAGCAGGAACTGATTGAACACTTCCTTTCCAGGCTCTTTCACTCACAGTGCCTCTTTTCCCAGTATTGCATGCTTTGCTCACACAGTAACAATCCCTGTTTGAAGCATAACTTCTAAGTGAGCAACTGCTGAAGCTTTATGTCTGTGTAGATAACAAAATGAAGATCTGAAGGTATGGTGCAGAAACATCAGAACCAGCGCCTTCAATTGTAAGCTGCCGCAGGCTGTGTAGGAGTGCAAAGGGGTGAAACCATGGCTGACCACAGTATTTGACTAAAGAGACGAAAGTAATGGAGGAAAAAAGTGTCTTGAGAGCAAAACAGATTTGTTTTAAAATCCTTTCCATTATACATTAAAAATACTACATAGCAGTGCTATGGAAAACCATTCATACGTATTAGAGCAAAACTGTTGGGTTACATCTTTGTAACCAAGTAATTTCGTTGAGAACAAGAGCTGTTCCTAGCTCATACTTGTGTAACTGAAGTAGATTCTGAGTATTTATTTAAAATGCAACCTGAGGCTATTAGTTTTGTAATAAACCTTTACAATATCTAGGAAAAAAACCCACTCAATTTAAATATCTCAAATCACTTCTTCAAGAAGCATCTTCAGTGCTAAAAACACATAAACATAAGAACATATTGCTAAATACAGTGAAAATACAGAAATAGCCACACAAACACTATGCTATGGAAATATTTTAATTCCAAATGGAATGTATTTGATGAAATAAACATTTCTGCTATATTCTGTTTCTAAAGAGAATGCCCATTAATACAAAATCAAAGAAAGATAAACCATAGTCTTCTTTATAGAGGGAGTTCTTTTCAGCTACAGGTCCAGAACACAGACAAGCTAAAATGGAAGCAAAACCGGTGCTGGATCAATTCCAACACTTGCAGATCTCCCATTTAAATAATTATTTTTGAGGTAAAAATCAGAATTTCTATTTCTGTATGCAAACAAAGTAGATTTTACTGTATAATTATCAAATCAGTGAACAAGAACTATTATGTGAGATAAACTTTGTTTGTCCAGACCATAGCCAATGAGTGATGAACAAGTATTCAATTTATTTTCAATGTCATCACTACTTCTGCTTATTTAATTTTTAGAAAGTCTCCAGCAATAGATTTGCATTAGATGTGCATTAGACCACAAGCAATACATTAAAACAGAATTTTCTAATTCCTAGGTCTGCAAGAAAAAAAATTCTCTGCCAGTTGAGTTTGCTCTGGTCAGAGCTGACTGAAACACTGTTTGTTCTTTAAGAAGTTACCATGCAAAACGTGCGTGTATCTTCATGCTCTCCTTGTAACCTGAGGAAGCACCAATATAAAGCAACATATCAGAGGTAATTTTGCATACACTAATTAATATTCAGCGTTATAATAATACACTAAACTAATTACTGCATCTACGAAGATGTGTTTAAAAAATCTGCCATTCTGATCCTGCTCACCTTGCTTTTAGAGCTTACAATAGTGTGCTAAAATAGTGTACTAAAATCGTGCTCATCAGCAAGAGCAATCCGACTGTTCCTAATCTTAATGTAAATCAGTAAAACTGCTAATGAAGGCTCATTGAATTTGGCAAAAGCTTGAAATCCCAGCACTGGATGCAAAACCCTTTCCATCTAAAGCAGCTGAAATATAGGAAGAGTCTGGAACAAAACAAAAGGATAAAACTGTAACACAAGCATGTGCTAATGCTCTGCAGCTGCTGGTATTTGAATGCCATCCTGTAAGTTTCTCCACACCTCTGACAGCCAACTTATATGATCTTTGAGGACATGAGATTAAGTTCCACTTTAATTGCATAGCACAGAATGTAGAAGCAACTACCATTTACGTTAACTGTATCCTAACAAATACTGCATATGGAAACATAATACTGTATATTAAAATTGTTTCTTTCATCAATTTAAAATTTCACATTTGGTCTCCAGTAACTAGGAAAAAGCCACTAAAAATATTTCTTAAGTCTATTCCTGAGCATTGTTTTCGTGTAAAATACTCTGGTTTATTACTACATTTATCAATATTCTCACATTTTAAACTATATATAAATCCATGCTTGGAAATTTTACAAAGCTGAAGACCTAGTAGACACAATGAAAGAACAGAAACAGCTAAGCATCTTAAGACCAAGAGAGATGAGATCACCAAGACAAGTGCAGTTTAACTATGTACATAGTATATCTTTAGTAACTGATGGTTTCTCACTAGCTATAGGAATGAGAAGGATCCACTTGTAAAAATCCAGTCTGCCAGACCTCAGCTTACTTCTCATCAACAGTTCACTGTGACAGGTGGCTGACGATGAACAAATGGTGTTCAGTATTTCATTTAAAAATCAAATTTCAAAACAATTTCTAGATTTTCAACAAGATAGTCCCCAGCTAAAAGCTGAACTGACACTTGAATACTCGCTGAATTACTTTCATATTCTCCTGTATCCCAGACACAAGAAGAATCAGAGGGTCTAAGGACAGAACTCAACTCTGGCTGAACAATTTTATGGTATTTCCCCATGCCACTTGTCTAAATCTTCAGATAAGAAGCAAATCAAACTGACACAGGCTGGGCCATGGAATAGAGAATAGTCATCACAGGTGGCTAAGAATAGGTATTTTTTGTATCAAAATATATCTTTGCTTGAACTTACATTGGTCTTCAAGCTCATAACCTAAGAGTCTATTTTCTGGATTTTGAGAGCTTACCAGTTTTGAACATTAGGTCACAGATTGTGCAGCAATATTTTCATTTGGCATTAGTCATCAATATCCACGTGCAATTTGAAATATTCAAGGTTTACAAAATGAACATGAAGGAACGCTGTCTGTAAACAGTGAAGTTTTCTGGGTATAAAAATATGCATTTGATTTTATTAATCTGCCACTATTGAAGCTGCCTGCTCTCTAACAAATGTCTGTCTTTAAAAAAATCCTTTTAGTATTAAAATATTCCAGTACATTATCTCCATTCTTCTTCCTAGCAAAAAAAACACATCCAATTCATCCAAAAATTCATCATCTCCTATGAAGAATTAGTTTCACTTTGCATAGATAAGCTGCTCCATTATTTTATAAAAACAATTGAGCCCTTTCCCATCAGAACAAAACACTATGAAACCTGTCACAAAATAACATCTCTTTTAAAGAGCTCAGATCCTATTCTCTCAAATGCACAAAAAGGAGTGCAGAAGAAACACTACAGACTTCAGCAAACTTCAATTGGTGCAAATAGGAGGACATTTTATAACTGTGTATATCTCTAAATTTTCATACTCTTGAGCAATTGTCAATATGCTGAAGGAAAGACCAATGGAAGACTTGCCTTCAGGGAAAAGATTTCCTGCTGGCCTTGCTGGCTTAAGATCAAATATATTGAAATGAACAGTGCTGACTTAGAACTATGAATCAAGAACATATTTTCTCAGGATCTTCCTGTAATGATAACATGACCCTTCTGCATTGGCCAAACACTTCAAGAAACATCAACTAATAAACTTTTCACTTAAATTTCCGTGATGTCTGCTTTGTGCCATTTGTTTTTATTTTTCTGTCCCCGGCTGATTTTTTAGAAGGAACATAATTGTTAGCATTGCCATTTTTCTTTGTGTTTGTACATGCATATGTTTTTAAGCCTTTGATAGGAGCAGCTGAACCATGAAATGCTGGTGCTTGCTTAGGGGGTCTGATATTACCAACACTTTGAATTTTAGAATTGTTCTCAGATGGCTGCATATTGAGAAGCTGTTGCTTTGCAGTTGTTTTTTTCAGTTCATTTCTTACTTCACCAGACTGTCTCTGAGAAGACATCGCATGTCCCATTCTTTCAGATGGTTTCAAGTGCCCTGGATGTGAATAAAACCGTTGACTTTCTTCACAGCATGGATCTACCCTGTGACCTGAATAGCACGTGGGGAGTTTTGTAACAGTTTCCTGGGGAACCATTTGTTTGTTAGGCAAAGGGCTAAGCGATGCTTTGCATTTGCCAGGGCTTTTTAGGGTACGTACAGAGCTGGGAGCAGTCTGTGGTCTGGCTTTGGTTGCCTTTGCTTTCTCATTCTGTACAGTCTGCATTTGCAGCCACTCCAGCTGCAAAAGACGATCAATGTATTTTTCAAGAAATCCAGTTGGCTTTGGTCGAAGTTCAGATCTACCTTCTACATTAACAAAGATGGCCAGTTGCTTCAAGTCCCATGAGTTAAAAGGGGGCGGCAGGAAGTCTGGGTAGTAAAACTCTGAGTCTTTAAAACCAGTATCAGGCACACGTTCCAAACAAACTGGATCAATTTCTTCAGCTCTGAGTATGAGTTCTGGTGGTGTGCAGGGAGATGGAGGAATGGGAATCCTTTCTGAATCAGAGAGATCACTGGCACTATCATCTTCAGCATCTTCTTTAATAATTTGTACCGATTCAAAATCAAGAAACATTTCGTTCACAGATGCTTCTTGCCATTTAGAGGAGCACGGACCAGCTTCAGCAGCATGTTCTTCATGATTCTTTTCCAACTGTTCTTTTTTACTGCAATAAAAATGTTGCACTTGGACATCTTTAACTTTACAGAAGCTACCTTGTGTGCTGCCTTTTGTGGCAGGAGGGATCCTGTGCACTAAAGATTCACTTTGCCTTGTTTCTGGGAGACTCCTCTTTGACCTTTCAACTCTGGGCAGAGATGTGCAAACACTTGTGATTCTAAACAAAAAGAAATATCACATCATGTTAGAATGGTTAAAGTCTTTGGAACGCCAGCTTACAAACTTTTGATTTCCCCCTTAAGGATTTGGATATACATGAACTGAGGTAAAATTTGCATGGAAACTTAGTAAATCAGTACAGAATACTGTCTAGCCTTGAATTTTTGCTTTATTTCATTCCAATTTTGCCTGAGATCCAGTATAGCAAGATTCCATATTGATAATTTAAACTTGTTATCCTCAAAAATGCTGACTTTTGAGTGCAGTGACCTCAAAGGCAACACAATGAAGCCAAGAATTCATCACAAGCATTTAAATGCCAGCTTGAACTGTGTACAAATTAAACAGACAATCTTTAAATAGTATTACTGTTTTGACTGAGTACTGTCATCTAATTGGTTCCTCCCCTTCTTAAAAACACTTCGTTGGTTATCGTCTTGAGTGTCACAGGAAGTCTGAAAAGATAAGAAAATATGTGATGTTATTACAAATGCTAACATAAACTTTGTATCCTTTTTCTATAAAAGAACTGGTATGATTTACCTTTTCATTGGTAGTTGGCACATTTTTGCATAATCTTCCAGGAGATTTCACATGAGAAACTGATTTCTTTACTCCTTTGGTGCTTGGGTGGCTTTTTCCATTACTGTTACTAGCAAGGATTAAACACAGTATCACACATTAATAGAAATGTTTATGATAATCAGAATAGAAATTCAATAAAAGTTTACCATTAAGTTTCAAGAAGAGAGAGTTGGTTGCAAACAGTCTTAATATTCATAGTAACTATGCTTTTTTTTATCCAGCTACTATAATACTACATTTTTAATACTATTACTGCAAAATGCATAATTAAATTAGAAAATATATTAAGAGAACTTAGCCTTCATAAAGAAACTTCCATCAGAGGATCCCAAAGTTCCTTTGCAGATAATAAATAGTAAATATTAATTATTAATTGAGCTACCATGGAATACTCATGGTCCCAGTGCACTTTAACAAAATTAATTATACAGTACAATGTGAATGCCACAATCAATCTTGCTTCCCTTTTTCACTTGCACAGTCTCAACAAAACTTCAACCATTATTCTTTAATATTTAAAAAGATATTTTTTTAATCAAATCAAGAGTTTATAAAAGAGTGAAGACAAGTTTTGTGCCTTCAGCAGTGCTGCAGTCACCTCTGTCACTTTGTGACCTGCACGGTCATACCACACAATCATTTGTGTTGATGTGGAGTGGAGAGGAGGATGAGAATCTGAACTGCGCAGTCATGCGCTTGTTACATCTTCTATAGTACTTTGTATAACTGGAAAGAAAGAAAATAATTTCCTTACTTTACCATTCCTTTGTGGTTTTCATTGATTTGGCTTTCCTTTTTCTGTGCCTTTCGGTGCAGTAATAACGGATGTTCTTGAATGCCCGGTCCCATTATTACTTGTTTAAAGTGGCATTTACATCTTTATCTTTACATAATCTTCCAATGACTCCATTCTTTCTGGTCCACACAGCACAGCGTGCGAAACGCAAACATCACCACGTCCTGGACACGCAGAGAACAAAAACCACACAATGTAATTATTAAAGCAGTACAATAAACATTAATTAGCTACCAAACGGCACTGGGATGCACCATCCCATCCCTCAGCAGTCACATATTCACCTCACCAAGGCCGCACACAGCCAGTGATCAGCACCAGCAGCAAGTTGGCTGCACAGAGCTGTGCTCAGCGTCAGCTGCAGAGATGCAGCCGCTCTGCAGACAGCACACAGCCCTGCAGTGAGGTGAGCCGGGCCAGCATCACCCAGCCCATCCAGCACACACCACGCGGTCTGCAGGACTGTTGGTAAAGATACAGAAAAACATGATGAGGTGCAGCAGCATTAGGAGAGCTACTTTTCACCGTGCAGTGAGCTCTTCATGTTGTCCTGCCTGCACCGAGGATCGGTCAAACAGGGATGGGTGTTTCTGCTCATAACTGAACGCTGATCACTGCCTGCTTTGGGTGCATGGAGTTGCCCTTTCTGTGCCAGAAAATGTGCTCGTGGCACATTCATATACATAAGTGTACCCAATGCTTCACTTTTCTCCCAAACCAAGCCTCTCACTGCTCATCCATCCCACTAAAAATAGCCACAGCAGAGCACACAGCATTCCTTCATTTTCCAGAAGCCGCACTCCCCTGCCGGGGCTACACAGTTCCTACGATGTGACAGATGCTCTGCACCAGATCACCTTTCTACACCCACCCTCAGTTTTTTTGCAGTTCTATAGATAGATTTGTTGTTTGTATGTGTTACTGGATACTATTGACGTTTATCTGACACAGTCCCGTTTCTTACTGCCTCTCCTCTTCTCAGGACAAAGCCCCGCAGGGCATGATGTCCCATCGATTCCGATCTCCGGAGTTCGGAGCCGCGCGGTCCCGCAGCCCAGCTCCGCTCCGCGGGCAGAGCACCGCCTGCAGCCCCGCACAGTCCTGCACCGGAGACGCAACAGCTCCTGCTACAGAACGGCCCCGCAGACAGATGATGAGGTCATGCTTCATTAGTCAACCTTCTCGATTTCCCCCTTCGGTCCCACCAACCCCTCAGCGCTACCACCCCCCAGCCCGCCTGTACCTGCCTCCCTTGCAGCCTCCGCCGGCATTAAGGGCACCCGGAGGGCAGCGACGTCAGGCAGGCACTGCGCATGCGCCTGGGGCGGTGCTTATTGGCCGTTCAGTTTGATAGACAGGGAGGCGCGGCGTGGGCGGGAATGCTGGGGTTCCGCGCAGGCGCCGTCGGGCGGACCGGGGGCGAGGGGTCTGTGCTGAGAGGAGCGCGGTACGGCCGGCCCGGTGCCTGTGCTCTGCCTGCAGCTGGGCACTGATGTGGGCTGTGCAGACCCCGGCCGCCGATTCCTCCCCTTCCAGTCACAGTACTGAGTCCGCCTCCCCGGCCCCGCCCGACAGCCTCCTCACGCCCTCCAGCCTGTGCGGCAGCCTCAGCTCCGGTTCGCTCCCGCCCGACAGCCTCCAAGCCTTCCCCGGCCTCGGCAGCGGCCGCGAGTCGCCCAGCATCCAGTGCGATAGCCTCGAGTGTCCCGGGTGCCGCTGCGGGAGCCTGGGCTCGGTCAGCCCCTGCGAGGACAGCCTGCAGACCCGGCTGGCGGCGTGTAGTGCTCCGGGGTGCTTCGGGGTGCACCGCTGCAGCCCTCACGCGCCCCGCGACCTCAGTGACAGCCTGGAGTCCTTCGGCGCCCAACACGACAGCCTCCAGTCCGTCCCCAGCCTGCGCGAGAGTCTACGGTCCTCCAGCATCGCGGGTGACAGTCTTGAATCTCTTTCCAGCCTGAGCAACGGGTCCACCAGCCTCGAGTTCACCAGCCACTGAGCCTGCCTTCAGCTTCTCCATACAACGCTCTGGGCTCTGCTTTGCCCCCAGCTGCTGTGAGAGCTGCCAGTTTTCTGCATTTCCTCGCAGAAGGATATGTTATTCCAGCTTACTCTTCTATATCCAGGGCAGTAACCTCAAATCCTCGCTGTCCGTGGCTCTTTCCCAGTTTACATCAGAGAGGCAGTGCTCCCAGCAGTGTAAACGTCAGCGCTGCCATCAGTGAAGAATGGAGGTGCGCGGTCCTCGGAGGAATCGCAGATACCTGTCTGATCTCTATGAGAACATGCTGCGGGCTCAAGACACAGCAGGACGAGGACAGGAGCAGCCCTCAGTGGTACATCCGAGCAGCAGCCCATGTCTTGTGAGCCGTGCCCCAGTCAAGGTGGCGGCCCAGCCTCATCAGCCGCAGAGCAGCACTTCCAGCAGCTGTGATCCAGCACTGCGGCCTATCATCCGCCGCCGAGCAAGGTCTTTGCCTACAACACCTGAAAGAAGGAAGCGAGTGCAGTGTCAAGCTCCTGTGTGCCAGAGTCGCATGAACAAGGTGAGATTTGCTGATGCTCTGGGCTTGGAGCTGACTGAAGTCAAAGTCTTCCAGAAAGGGGAGGATCCTTCAATTCCCCTACATGTCCTTTCCAGGCTCTCCATAAATTCAGACCTCTGGTACAGCAACTTGGAGTTTACCATGCAGTGCTTAGTCCCTGATTTCCAGCAGCCTGCAGACTGCATGGATTTCTCTACCCGACTTCAGGAGCAACAGGTGTGTCTTGAACGAGTGAGCAGTTCAGATCTGGGGGTCAGTGGCACCATCCAAGTTTGCAACATTGCTTTTGAGAAGCAAGTATCTGTGCGATACACCTTCAACCAGTGGAAAAGTCTCCATGAAGTATGTGCTCATTGGCACAGTAGCATCTCTGAGAAAAACGAGCAGGATCAAGTTGATGTTTTCACATTTTTTCTCCCTGTGCCTTCTTTCCTCCTTCAGCTGTGCTCTGTAGTCCAGTTTGCAGCAAGATATCAAGTCAATGGGCAGGAATATTGGGATAACAACAAAGGCAAAAACTACAGCCTCACTTGCCGGACTCACCCCCTCAAGATGCCTAGAGAATGCGAGGAGAGCTGGATCCACTTCATCTGAATGAAGGAAAGTGGATGCAGGACAGCTTTGCAGTAGTCTCAGCAGCCCTTTCTTGTGTGGCATTGCTCTGTGCTCCTTTTTGAAGCCTACCAAACCTGGCAGAGTTTCACAGCAGGCAGGTAGCCAACGAACCGGACGTACTGTTCTAAACCTCTGAAAGTATTAAGGGCCAAAATGTGTAGAGCTACATCTGCTGAAAGCCTGGGTGGTTTCTTGTAATGTATGAATCAAGGCGGAATGGTTCAAAGGGATTCTCTCAGGCTATTTAGAAGAGATCAAGAGAAGACACTTTATGTTGCTAGCAATATTCTAGATCGCATAGAGTATTTCTAACAGATCTATTTTACTATTTTGTACTGTCTGTTTTTTAAATGGGCAGTGCAGCTTTATTGTTTTCATTTCTAATTTTGTTTGTATTATCACACCAACTCTGGGCACTGTTCCAATTACAATTTGCATGGCAGACACTGTAGGGAAGCACTTACATATATATATTATATATATATATAAAATATATATATACATTTATTTTTTTTTTAAGACTGTTACTGTGCTGAGTATTTCCATTAGTTTTGGGGTTGGAAAGTAAAGAAATGTTATGAGCAAAACTTGCATGAAAATTTCCAATCAGCCCGTTTCCCTTATTATTATTATTATTATTATTATTATTATTATTATTTTAAGTGCCTTATCTCCACTGTTTGCAGTAGGCAGGAGGAGTGATTGTTACCAGAGTGTATGAAGGTACTTTGCTTCGTGGGGAAGCTCTCATCTTGTTCACCTGATCAACCAGTAGGTTTTTCCTCCAGGTGGTTGTACAGGAGTTGTCCTTCTGCAGCTGCATTCACTAAGGAAAACCAGAGAAATTTTGCACTCAAATTACACTTATGCTCTTACACTCGTACTTGAAATAGGTAAACTTGCAAATCAAGCAGATGTGAGAAAGGAAAGAAAAGACAGTACATTGAGCTTGTAACAGAGCCTTGCAGTAGAATCCTTGGACTCTGAATCCTGGCTCTCTGTTTCTCAGCATCTCACTGCCTTTGCAGTAATACTTTTTGAATGCTCTGCTCAGCTACTTTTTTTTATAAACCAATTGATCTCTAAGACTGCATCCTTTGCAACGCAAAAGAGGAACCTCAAAGCAAAATAATGCTTCTAATAGTAAATTAGTATTAAAATGTGTCCTCAAATTATCTTCTACAGCAGGGAAAGCATAGCAACATAAGTACTGCATACCCAATGCTTCTTGCTCTGCGACTTTTGTTCTGAGGATTTAGTATGGTTTGAGGTAGGCAACAGGCTTGGTGACAGGCTTCAGTCTAGTAAGTAAAAGATTGTCTGTTTATTTGTTTGGTTTTTTCCCATATATTCAACACTTGCATGCAAAATTTATGACAAACTTTCAAAGCTGTCTGGGTGGAATTATTAGAGCTGCTTTTTTGAAAGAACCATGCTATAAAAATCAAGCCATGTATTCAGACATCTAACTTTAGATTTCTGCTTATTCATCAAAATCGCAAGTGATTTTTAAAACCACAGTTGTAATTAACTCATGGTTGAGTATGTGCTAATGCAAAAGGTCCAACAAGTAATTCTGGAAGTGTAGAAACACCAAGAAAATTCAAGTGTTTGGCAACTTAATGTTACTAGTTGGGCTATTTATCAATGCCAGGATTTGAAGTGAACAGGCTTCCCAGTTGGGTAGTCTTTATCTTTCAAAGGAACGACTGATGAATGATGGTTTTTTGACCTGCTTAGCACCTCTTTCATAGTACAGTGAAAACTCAGTTGTATTGGAAACCGCTGGGAACTGACTGTGTTGTCATACTGGAGAACTCACCCAGTTAATGTGCACTTACACATCCTCCATTTTGTTCTTTGTTTTGAATTGCATGCTTATAATTTCTTCCATAGCAATCCAGTGCATACTGCTTTCAGTTAGAGTTTTCTTTAAGAAAAAAAAAAACAAGCAAACTAAAAAAAAACAGGCAAACCATTTGTTTTCATTCTATAATTTGGCCATTTCTGTTAGCGACTGCTGCTTAAATGCAATTTTGATGTCTTTCCTAAGTAAATGAAATGTCCACAGATGACAGATGTCATTTATAAAGCTTACATAGCTGTCCAGTGTAACAGCAGAAATGCAAGATGTACTTTGGCTTGTTTTCAGCAGGACACTTGTCAGTAGTTGAATTCAGCTGGGGCTGGCGGGGTTTTCCTGTGAAAGCCAACTTCTAAGTATTACTCTTCCTGTAAGCCTACCTACCTTTGGTAATTAATTTTGGTTTTTAACTTGTATGTATTTTGATCAATTACCAGTGGTTATCTGTGGGTAGGGAACAGTAAAAATAATCATTTCTTTATTAACTTTTTGCATAAAAGAGCTTTCGTTTTCTATTTAACAGAAAATGAATTTAATTTTATATTGGAGCACAGTGAGATCAAAAGTTCAAGTTGAAATTGTTTTGAATGAGTAACACAACTGCTCCATTAGGAAATTTCATATCTGTTAAGTCTTCATAGCCATTAAGACAGGCAGAACACTTCTGAGATTAGGGTGAGGCTGGAGATTTATAGCTATACTGATTAAAAAGACTGTGTGCTTTCAGTCCACCTGCATTACTTTCCGTATCTCAGTTAAAGAGGTAACTGTTGAACAATTGAGCTGCAGCTCTTTTGTCACAGGGGAAGTTGAACTGAAACTCTGCTCTTCCTCATAGGCCAAAAAAAAAAAAAAAGAGAGAGAGAGATGGAGCAAAGCAAGAAGGGGCAGTTCTTGACTCATGCACTCTTTTTTTTGGGGGGGGGAGGGGGGGCTCTGTATGGCTAAATGACATATGATGGTGTATGACATAACACATCTGAAGTAATCAACCCAGATGTTCTCTATACTCAGTAGCGATGTTGCTGTACTTTGCAAGCTGCCTGTAGTGTGACTGACTGTGTCAGCTGCTGCAGGATGAGTTTTGCTGCAAAGAAACTCTCAGTGCTGTTGCAGATTGTGCCAAATGTCAGGTAGGGTAAAACACACCTTGAGTAACTGCAGAAGAATCTTTCTTGGCATGAACTGAACCTTACTTTGGTGACACTTGCTTACTTAAGTAATATCATTAAAGTTTATTGCTTGTTGTTGAACTCCATAGAAGTGGAGTTTTACATATTAGCAAAGTAAAAAGCAAACATAGGCACATGCACACACAAACATGCACAGAAGAACCTGTGCTGAATAAAAGGCACTATTTTAAAGTATTATTCCTTTCCCCCCCCCTCCAATTACTGTTTTTTTTTCCTGAGCAAAAACACTGAACTGTCTCTCAGCACATTGTTAACTTCCTTCTCTTCTGAGACTGCTATTTCATACTGTTTTACAATGGGTGTTGCTGGAGCCCAATGTGATACTTGGCTCACTGGTGCTAATATGCTGTTGCTGTGTTCTGAAAGAGAAACATTCATGCTTGCAAATGTCAAAATTTCCTTGTTACTGCAAGGAGCAAGAGATTATAGAGAGACAGTTTAAAGTCACTACATCAGAGAAGTGAGAACTGAATATCTCAGCAAAGTGAGTTTGGTTTGCATTGTGTTCCTTCTGTAGCCTCTCAGGGTATTTGCATGTACAAAATTTTGAATATTCACGTGTTATCCCAAGTTTGCCTTTTATCTCTGCATGTCTGTCACTGCTGTAGAAGAATGGACAGCAGCTGTTACTAAACCAGTTGCCTGGCTTTGCTGACTGAGTTGAGCATGCCTACATTAGGAAGGAACTGGGAGGGATCACTAGATTCCTTCAGTACATAAAAAACATTTTTCTTTAGGGTGCTCCTAAGCTGTTAAATATTCACACAGGTACTGAGTCATGACAGATGAAATCTGTACTAGTTTTTTTCCTGTCATGTTCTGTAGTGAACATCAGAAGGATTCTAGTTGACAACAACAAAAGGATTAAGCCATTAAGTAGTGGTGGTAGCATGCACCTATCATGAAGGCAGACTTATGACCACTTAAATTCTCAGGACAACTTCACTGCCTGCACTGTGTTCAAACTGAGCACTTCCCTTATAATGAGGATTTTGTAAAACTGAATTCTTCACAAGAGTTATTGCCATGTAATGCACTTTCAAAACTTGTCTATTTTAGTCATAGAATGTCCAGTAATCCACAGTTTCAAAGTCCTTTTGAGTATGTTTTTGTAAACAAACATGGAATCCATGTAAATGAGAAGGTTGCCTTTCCTGATTGTCATGTCAAGAAAAAAAGTACATTACACAGTATGTCAATGAAGTACATCTGCTTGACAAAATGTCATTTTGTTTTACTGAGGAGTTGTAAAGTGTTTATTTCCTTTAAGAACAGTAAGAAAACTGACTATTTTAATAGGAGAGGTTGCAATAAAGCTTTTCACGGTTTTGTGTTGTCTTTGTGAATGGTACTCCTGTTAACAGTTAAGAAAGCTCTTTAGCTAACGTAGTACTGAGTTGTCACTTACAGAGCAACATCCTCAGTTTAGGAAGTAAGTTGGATTCAACAGTTGCTGAAAATTGACCAAACAGCACTTGAAAAGATTACAGTGTTTATATAGCTTCAAAAATGACTTTACTGCTATTTCTTACATGGAATTTCACCTTAGTTCTGTGCAGGATTAAGATCTAATGTTGGAGAAAGGCATGTTGTCAGTTACTCTGATATGATTCTACTATTGTTTTGAGGGAAAGAAAAAGTGGTTCTCTTCTAAGCCCTTCCAGAATTGCACTAGATGGTCTTAACTGAGTCTGAGATTCACAGTTGCATTGTTTTTCCCTGCGTGTCTTTTTTCCATTTTTATTGCTACATTTTCTCCTCTCGGACCATGTGCTTTTCTCTTGGAAGTTTCATAAAAATGTGTATACAGAGGGTAAGAGTGTCCATCTCTACAGTAACTATTTATCCACTATGTGAAAGCATCTCCCTCTGTGCCAAGCATTTAACCCACACAGTTCAAGATGTGAATTATGTTACCAAGGTTCTTTCTAAAGCGAATCAGAAAAGTTTAATTAGAAGACATAATTGGTAATATGCTTTTAGTAATTACTTTTTAATCAGGACTAACAGCTTTAACATTACAGTGCCAAAGTTGCCTGGGGGAAAAGATGGCTATCGCAAATCACATTAAATAGGTGGAAATGTCTGTATCATGCTGAGTTGTTTAAGAATTTCAGTATCACTTTTTATTTTGAAGTATAGAGGTTGCGTTATAAATAATGCATACAGATGCACAAAGGAGTATGCTTCTAGACATACGTGCTCTTATAATGTCTTTGTGACTCCTCTTTTCCTGCGCTACAGACATCAAGCAGAACTCACAATACTGCCTTCATCCTTGTCATTGTACTCGTTAGAAAAGAGTACTAAGCACCACCTGAGGATGCTATCAGAGTGCAGACTGACCTGAGAGCAGTAAAGGAGAGTGGTCTTTCACTTTTAACACGTCACTGGAAAACGATGTGGAGTTACTTGAGCTTGTGGTTGTGTGTGCATGCATGTGCATCAATGCCACAATTTAAGAGTATTCAATGGTTAGATATTACAATCCCTTTACTTCATCAGAGATCTTGACATCTGAATACCCAGCAATATAAATGTCAATAATATTTGTTCAGCTGATTTTTCAATACTTTGACTGGACTTTTCCTGTGAACGCCCAGCGAGATTTGTCTTACAGGCAGTGTTATTTTTAATATAGGTTTTATTTTTATATTTAGTCACAAATTAATAGTGAATCTGAATGTATCCTATTAAAAATCCAGCTTCTAGTAATAGCAATATAATAATGGTCTGTTGTGAGCATAGCACTTAACAGCTCAATGCTCGTCAGTGCTCTGTGTATTACTTGTGTGTACTTTTCAGCACTGTCTCATGAAGACACAGAATGGCAACTCTAAACGTTTATTCATTTGCCAACATGGGTCTAATGTTAGTACTGACTTCTTTCCTGATTTGGTCTTCTCCTTATGATCTCAGATCTGCAACTATTTCAGCTGACACTTGATATTAAAACTGGTTGGCATAAATGCTCTGACCCTTCTCAGCTCTATACGCAACAGTACCTGTGCCAAACACTGATTTTATTGACTACAGTGTTTTCCAGGACCTCTAATTTTCTAAGACCCTGTTCTGAACACACTTCTGCTTCCATTTTGTCCATTCTTTTTTAAGTGTAGGTGCCATATATCATGGAGCATAGGTGGCCAAACTGATCCCTTTGAAGGGAACTATCAGCAGAAGGGCCAGTGAACTCACTGAACTGGGAGACATATTTTAGCAATTATCTGTGGCTTCAGCAAGGAAAGAAACATCTTTTCTAAAAGGCCTGGGGAGATAGAGAAACTAAGAAATATTTCCCAAAACGCTGTTGAAGTCCTCGCAGCTGTTTGTGCTGAGGAGGATTGAAGGCTTTCATTGCTCGCTCCGGTCCGTGTCACGCAAAACTCCATGCAAATTCTACTGCTGACCTTTCTCGTGCCAAGCAAAACTGTTATGTATGCCGAGAGAGAACGTGATCGCAGCGAATGCCGCAGTTAATGCTCAGCGCCCATTAGCCCGGCGCTGGCCGCGCTCCGACCTCATACCGCTTGTCATTTGCTTGAATTGCAGTGACATCTGGTGGCACGCTGAGCGCTTTCTGTACAGCTGTTCTGCCATTTATAGCTCCCATTTGCTTTCTTTCCCTTTTTAGAAAACCGGTGGGATGAGTATTTTATTTACACGGTGCAGGTTTGCCTGCTGTGACGCGCGGTTTTCCCACACGGTGCGATGCGGGATCAGCACAGCCCCGTGTCGGTCACAGGTCTGTAATTCTGTACTGTGCTCTGACGGTAATGAAAATGTTTTTTAATTAAGCGCTGTAATGCATTACATCGGTTTACCGAACTCCATCGTGCTGGCTCGTTTGAATTACACCCTGACATCGTTGTTCTAAACGAGGGACGGCGGAACATTAGAGGTGCTCGCAGCTTTGTAAGGCGAGGCGTGACCGCGCGCAATGCACGGCTTCCCTCGGACGGCGCAGCCCTGCCCACACGCACGTCTCCCGCCGGCCGATGCACTCAAAGCCCGGCGCGAGCCGCACCTTCGCGTCAGCGCTCTCCGCCAGCCGGCAGCCAACGAGCGCCGCCCAGCGGAAACCGCGCCTGTCCAAAGAAGGCGGAAGAGTCTTTCACAGTAAGAGGAATCCGCCTCCCGCTCACATCTCCGACGGCGATTGGCTGCACGGGTCCACGATCTCGGGCGGTGATTGGGTGGGAATCAGTAGGTCTGGGTGTGATTGGCCGGCGGGAAGTGGCGGTTTTTTTCTCTCGCTGGCGGTGAGGTGAGAGCCGCCATGTTGGAGGTTTTGCTGCTCCTTGGTGGCGCTGCGGGACGTTCTTTTCTCAGTAACGAGGCCCTGGGGACGTGCCAGTAACTGCGGGTGTTCAGGTGGTGGAGGTGTCCGTTGTACGTCGGGAAAGAAGCATCTGGAATGGTGGTTATATCGAATTCTCTGGCTAGACAGGAGATGAGAGAATTGTGAGGTGATAATAAAGATCTCAGTGTAGGCAGTTCCATTTGTGTACTGGAAAACTTAAAAATAAATCACCCTGGGTTTGTTATTTCTGTGTTACTCAGGAGTACAAAAATGGCTGTTGGGTGCCCCCAGTCGATTCTTATGTAGAAGTTGTTTTCTGTTTTTAATTGCTGTTTTCCCATGTCTAGTTCCATGTGATTTCTGGAGTGGGGAGGCCAAAGCACTCTGGGTACATCAGTAGAGACATGTTAACATTCACAGCATGGGGATGTTTTGCTCTGGGTTAAATCCAATGCAATTACTTTTGTCTGCTCTTGAGTTTTAAGCTAATGTTTTCAGAAATCTATAACTTAAAAATCTTGGAGCTATTAGGCATCTCAGTGCTCACTATTTTCCGTATAATTAGGACTCTTCACTACGTGCATTACTGTATCTTTCTTAAATAATCTCATTTTCCATTTTATAATGAGGCCTTTCTATAGTCTTGCTGTTGGCTTGCATATGCTGAACAATCTATGCTGGCAGGACAGCCTGCTATTTTCTGCTCTTCCTAGCTCAAGTGTATTGAGAATCCACTGCAGAACTCCTATTCCGATTTTGTCAAAGTTAATCATTGAAACTGGTATTATAACTAACCAATTACACACTGTTTGCAAAATCTATTGGAAGTTTGTATCAGTGAACTGTGTTTCACTCAAGTGATAATTGTTCCCTTCTCATGTAGCTCATCAGTTGCCAAAATGGCAGCCAGGAGGGAGATGCAGGTATGTGCCTATGGACTGGAATATGGTGTGGATTGTTTTAATTACTAACTTTAAGGGCCTCTACCGGTGTTTAACTAGAAGTACAATTAGTAGTACCACAAACAATGTGTTCAGAAGAAATTTTCCATTGCTATATGTTACTTTTAAGCAGCTGGTTAGAAACTGAGAAGAACAGAAAGGTGTTATTGATACAAATAAGTAATATGCATTTGATGTACTTAATGTGGTTGGGATGGTACTCAAGACTGAAATGTTTAAACCTACCTTTAATCTAGTTTTAGAAAGAATAGAGAGGCATAATAATAAAGGAAGTTATACATATGTTGATAGCTTTTAAAGTCAGTAATATGTAATTTAAAAATGCAGTATTAAGTGCCAAGGAGAGGGTAAGAACACAGTAAGTACTTATGGAAGTGCTTACTGGTGATACAAGGAAAGAAAAAAGCATCCAGTTAAGGAAAACTGGCAAACTGTTAGAAGGTGGGTAAGTATTTGTGTGATTAATGCATTAGATATGGTGCTCTGTACCTCAGAACCTTTTTATGTTTAATGGTTTTGTGATTCAGTATATTTGCTGAGAATCTAACAGATGACAACATAAAAATAAATATTAAGCATTATAAAATCGGAATCAGTCTTAAGACAGAAATGTATCACTGTGTGCTTCTTTTATTCTAGCAGTTTGAAAAGCTAATTGATGAAGTTACAAGGAAAAAAAATTTTGAATTATTAGAACAATACCTGGAAAGAGAAGATTGTGAAAATATCTCTTACAAATGCAGCAAACAGTTCGTCAGCAAGTTAGACAAGCTTCTGTGTCAGGTGATCTCATTGTTACATCAGAATAATTCGTGCTCGTCTGAAAAGTACTTTTTTCATTTGTACCAGCAGTTGATTTGGAAAACTGAAATAAAATTTAAGACTCTCAGTTCTTGAGAATACAGAGACGTGCTTAATTAAATGTAAGATTTTCTGGGAGTATGAACTGAAGCCGGTGTTACAATGTTGATTTCAGGAACTTGACAAACAAGAAATCAAAAGTGTTTCAACTTTGCTAACTTCTCTTTGGAAGTGTGGGGAAAAAATCAGCATAGCAGGCGACAATGGACTCCCAGCAATGATAAAATATGGCCTTGTTGGAAAGATAAGTATAACCATAAAGCATGTGGGAAAAGATATGAGTGAAGAATATGTGAATAATGCTTCAGCACTGAACAACTTAGTATTCAGTTTAGTCTTTGATTGCCTTTTGAGTTAAGGATTTCTTACTATTTCACAACAAGCATTACTCCGACTAAAGTGTTTTAGCTTACGCAACCAGGTTTGCACTGAAATGTGCTCAGGAAGCTGGTAATGTTTTTGCTGTTGTTTTAATCTTTGTACAGTCAGTGTAGTTTTTCTGAAGTATAATACAGTCTTGTTCTTTTTTGTGCTTTTAATGTAAGTTTGCTTTTATTTTTCTCTTACATGGTTAATTGGTATGAAAAGTTAAAAGGAATTTTGATTCTCAGAGGAAATGAAAAGAACAAAATCATTACAAATCTGGCTGAAGATTTCTTCAATGTACTACTGGTAAAAAAAATATGTTGATGATTAAATATATTGTTTGTGAAAAGAGTTGTTAGTACGTTGGCAACAAAAAGGCTTTCAAGCATTTTTCTATTTAGTATCCCTCTAATGCTAATGTTACAATGATTTCTGAGACAGATTATAAGTGTCTTCAGACAGTTTGTCTGCATTCATGCTTGTTAGCATCATTAAAAAAAAAAATTCAGTGAACAAAAATATCACGTCTCTGTTTTGATTTTTATTACCCAAGTTAGTTGTATGCTAATCCCTTGTCCAAGGGCCCACAGTTTGTAAGATCTGGGAGTTTTTAATAAAAAATGTATACATAAAAAAGTTGTAGGAAGCAATTTGAATACATTTACTAAAATATTTGAGGATACTAGACTTAACATTAGTAAATGTCTACTGTGTTCCTCATTAACGATTTGAGGGTGAAATAATTGTAAAGTCTTAAATGCTTTTTATTTGCCAGCTTTGGGTACGTTATCTAGATTTTATGCTGTAATACTTACAGTACCTTCTTTTTTTTTTTATTGTAGATTGTATATGACAGCATACCTGAAGGTGGGCTTAAAGGAATTCTGTTCTAGATATCATAGTTAAAATCTCTTTCAGAGCTCTTCAGAAGTTGTCAATGTTAAAACAATTATTTGTGGAACCATTTGAACACAAGGTGGTTCTGAGAGCAGTTCTGTGTGAATAATAAGGATAGTATAAAATTTTGTGATTAATGTGAATAAACAGATCTGTGTTCTGCACCCAGCAAACATCGAGGACTTGTCCTCAAGAGGGCTGTGCTGTGCGCTTTACTTGTGCTCGTGAGAAAGGCAGCTTGATTGTGAATTGCATTTTTATGTGGAAAAAAAGCCTGAATGACAGTTGTAATCTTTTATTGTTTAAGGTTTGTGTATTGACAAGTTTTCTTTGTAACTTGATAATATTGGCAACAAAAGCAAGAAAGTTTCTTCTTCTCAGTGATGGCAACTAAGAGGTTTTCATTAAGAGGGCAGTGTTACCTAACAACTGCCACAGCTCCACATAGCATAGTTGTTCTTCTCTTTGGATGACTATTGTGAATATCACGCTGTTCTTACCTTTCACTAAAGTAGCACAAATGGTAGAAAGTACAGAGTATTTTGCTGTCACTGTCAAAATCTCAAAGGGCCCATTTTCCTTGTTTTTGGGAATCCAATCCCAGAGCTCTCAGAAGTGACACGTGCAACTGATTGGAATATATTTTAAAAATTAATGATCTTCTTGTACAAGGGATTTCCACAGTTAGAATGTGGTAGACAGGAATAGAAACATCATACAGATTTTTATGATATTTTCTGTAAATGGAACTACTACTCTGTACTGCATTTTGACTACAAGATGCTTATTTTTAAATACCAGTAATTCTGTATAGAAAAGAAGGCATGCTGTGTTTTTGAATTTTTAGTGCTAATTCTGAATTAGCACTATGTTTACACCTGCAAATAAAAGTCTTTTCCCAAATGCTGGAATTTTTGCTGATTTTTAATGTTTTTTTTTTCCCTCTGGTTATTAGGTAAAATGGAAATGCTAGAAAACTTTGTTTTGAGAACTTGTACCATCATAACTGATGTAAGAATTAATATTTATGTCCAACAAGAGGTAAACACTTTTTTTTTTTTTTTTAAGCAGCTTTTTTCTCATTGGTATTTAGATATAATTTGCAAAGATAAGTGTACAAATGCCACAAACAGGTAATGTTGTGGTATAGTATAGTAGCATCTGAAGGACAAGTTACTATTTCTCTGGGGATGCTGGTTGGCATTTGTGCTACTAACCGTTCATTTTTGCTTTGGGCAGTAAATTGGAAAACAGTGGTAGGATGATGCTGTTGAGAAAGCTATATAACAGCATAGGAGATAAAATGCTTTATTACAGTTGCTAGAAATTCTTTAGATATTTGCAGGAGATCACAGAATCACAGAATTGTGGGGGTTGGAAGGGGCCTCTAGATGTCTACACTTTCAGTATACTCCAAATTTCTCCTATTTAATTTACTAACATGATGTTTTCAAGGTTTTCCTTTCTCTTTAAAGAAAAGAGTTTTGGGTTTTATGTTTCTTTGTTGTGTTTTATTGTGTTTGATTTTGGCTTTTTTCTTTTTTCTTTTTTTTCCCCTCCCCTGTAATCTTCTCTAAAGGCTACATCTCCAAAGCAAGGGTGTTTGCATGCAAATTTGAGGTATAATTTAGCTTAGCAATTAGCTTCAGATAGCAGTCTCTCTCTGACAGTTTTTTGCTGTATTTACACCTGGAAATAAGAAACATAAATACCATTTAAGGCCAAACAATTATTTTCTTGTTTTTCAATTACTTAAGCATGTTATTTTGATCAGTGGTACAGAATATATTGATTAGATCCTGAATGCAGGTGCAGAATAACTTAAACTTCAGTAACTTACTTTATGTTTAATTTGAATCCTTTTTTTCCCACTCAGGTAGTAAGAAAACTTAATTTAATGCTTGACAGCATGCCTCGAGATGCCAGGAAAAAGATATTTTCTACAGAGGAGATGTTGCTTGTCATGTAAATGATCTTCAATATTTTTTTAAATCATTAAATTATTTGCATATCTGTAAAGGTATTTTCCTACTAAGACTTTTTATAAGGCATGCTAATCCATGTCTAACTCATTTTTGCATTTTGCATTTGCTGTTATGTTGCCTGTGGTAGTGTCAGTGGCAGATATTCTCACCAGCTATTCCCCCTCATGTAATCCTTGCTGTTTTTAAACAGTTACATTCATAGTCAATTATAGGACTGGGTGAATCCCTCACTGGAAGGGCAGACATTTGCATGTTTGGAAAACTTTTCATAGCGTTAAAAAAAAAGACGTGTACCTGGTGGCTCAATTCCCCAGTATTGCTTTCAGATGTATGTATGCTCTTTGCAAATGAAAGACCTGCCCCTCTGGAGTCTTCATAATTGGATGGAATCAGATTTTCATCTCATATGTTGGAAAGTTGTAATTAAGTAAACTTCTGTGCTTTGTTTTGCTGTCATAATTTGATGAAACACTGCTTACTTTTTCAGGAGTGACATGGGTAGGAGAATTTTGGATGCTGGAGGTGAGCATGGCTAACAAACATTTTATTATTGATATTAAAAATTACATGTAGTCCCATTTAAAAATCCAGAGAATACCTTAAAAGCTGCAGAACATTGCAGTAATAGTCCTCTGAAGAATAAAATATTGCAAGAGTACTCTGCCTGCAAACAGGAATGTCTCAGATGTATGCAGGATCAGACTAACCTTGTGAACTTGTTGGTCCTCTTCTCTTGCAAGTGAATTTTAAAACAACAGCAGATCAGAAAGTAGTAAGTCTCTGAGGACAGTGAACTGTTTACCACATTTAAGATTAGTCTAATTTTTGCCAAGGGTCACTTTGGTTTCTCTCTGATTCAAGCAAAAGCTGAACATTTCCTATCTTTGCTTATATGTGTTGCATTGCTTTGACCTTCCTTGAGAGTTTAGTTGAAGTCTCATTTTTGAATCATCATTTTGTTCAGTCATCCTTATTCCCTTAATTCTGTATTTCCTTTATGGATTACATACTTGGGTATAATGTGATATGCAGTATGAAAAGTTTGACACTGCTGGTAATAGGTTCTTACATAATTATTACTTTTTAAAATCAGTAGTATTCTTAAAACTACTATTCCTGTCAAATGTATTGTGCTGTAGACTATGACCTGCAAGTAGCCATCACAGAAGCTTTGTGCAGAATGATACCAGAGAAACAAAGAAGAGAACTGGCATGCCAATGGTTTTCCATGGAGTTTGTGTCCAATGCATTTAAAGGAATTAAAGATTCAGAGTTTGAAACAGTAAGTCATATTAAGAATATTTCCATCGCGATAGATTTTCATTTTTTACTTTCTACATGGAAATCTTTCTGTTTTAATAGGATTGCAGAAAATTTCTTAACCAGGTGAATGGCATGCTTGGAGATAAAAGAAGGTAAAATGTTTTTGTTTTTAAAGCTAGTATGTTTTTGGCACAGAAACTGCTTTTGGTGGACTCAACACAGCAATACAAGCAAATAAGACTAGTCTTACTGTGGTGCAAAGGCAAGGAAGTGTGCAGAATTCAGTAAAAATTCTTTTAAAACGTTAAATAATAAAGAAGTGCTGTCTTTTGGCATGTTACCATAGATATTATCTTCTCTATCAAATGCTAATTTTATGTAATTCCTATACTTGGGGAAAAAAAAAAAAAAGTAACAAATTGAAGAAACTGTTCTTTAAGTAAAGGGCATTCATTTGAAAAGATTTTTAAGCAGTAAAAAATCCATGCTTTGTTAATTTGTTAATTCATTAAATGTATCATCTAATAATAGTTAGCAATCTATTGATGTATATATTCCTTTGATTTGGGATGTTTGTGCTGAGCTAATGATCAGTGAAGATATCTGTTAGAGAAATAGAACGTTTAAAAAGGAGAAAGTACAAACTCTTTTTCCTATCTATATGATCACATCTTCTGTATATTTTATGTCATGATGGCATAGAAGATATTGTCTACTATCCCTATAGCAGCTCCATGTTCAGTTTTGAATACCTATTATAAGACCATTTCTAAAATATCAGTAAATATGAACACAGAAAGGAGATCTGAGAGCACTCTTTGCTCGTTGGGGATTCACATTATCTCCTTTGGGGAAGAAGTGCCAGGAAGTGACTGCTCCTTTCAATCCTGCAATTCCAAAGTCTGTAAAGCACATAAATTTTGTGCTGAAAACAATACAGTTGCTGTGCTCAGATATGCCAAATTTACAGTGTTTCAGTTTTTGACAAAATATCCTTTTCTTACAGGGTTTTTACATATCCGTGTTTATCAGCAGCTCTTGATAAATATGAGGTAAATTGCAGGCTAAATCATATATCCACAGATTTTTATTTGTGCAGGTGAGGTATTTCTTTGCCTTTTAGTTCAGAAAGCAGGGTTTAAATAAAATTATTTGTCAGGCATATACAGAAGTATTTGAAGTTTGTCAACCTGTGACACAAAGCCTAATAGCTGGTATAAGCTCTCATTCTCAGCTCTTGCTCTTCTGTCTTAATTTTTCATTTCAGCTACAGCTCCCGTTGGATGAAAATCTTGAAGAATTTTGGATTGATTTCAATGTTGGCAGTAGAAGTGTATCTTTCTACGTGGCTGCTGATAATGCAGTAAGCTAAGTTTTGTCTGTCATATTGATCCTTTTGAAGAAATAGATGTGTGCTTTCTCAAGTATATCAAGTATGTTATATATGCATCTACAATGTGGAGACAAAAAAAATAGATTTGGTGCAGAAATAGGTAAATATTGCTGGTAGAGATTGGTGTTGCTATTCTTTTTTCATGCATGTAGATCAAAGAATTTCAGAGTAATGACTTTTTAATGCTGTTTGTGAACAATTCAGTATATAATTGCACCCGTGAACGAGAAACTGTTTACAAAATTGGAATCATAGAATCACATGGAAGTTGTAGGATTTGTAGGTAACTCAACTTTTTAGATGAGTATTTTTACCAAAGCTCTTCAGGGACATTTTCAGTTATAAATTAAGAATATATTCATTGTAATAAAGGCTGTTGACAATTGAAAACTTGTTTTCACTTGAATGCTTTCTAATCAGTGACGTTAATTTATCTCTAATATTATATCTATCTTTTCAAAATTGTGTATTTTTCACATGAGGATCAGCAATGGGAAACAGTCATCATACCAGAGGAAGAGGTAGACCTATACAACCTTGAAGGTATTGGCAGTAATGAATCTGATGTTTTGTTATGCCCTAGTGGGGATTTCCAAACTGATCAAAGCAAAGTTCACATCCAAAACAGTGTAGGTGCATTTGTTTTTATCAAACTGTACTGCACTCATGTTAGTAGTTTAAGCACGCAGGTGCAATTTAAATAATTTTAAAGTAATATCTTATTTCAATGCAAAATAAAACATCAGATGGTGACTTTTAATAATCTTCCTTTCAAATATCTTAGGTTAGTTTTGTAAAAACCTATAATTGGTCTGCAGCTATGATAGGTAACCTTCAGAGAAAATGCTACGGGTTAATATATAAATATTTTTACATGATTGAATCTTAAATTACTTCAGTAATAAAGTAGAATAAGTAGAATTAATTAAATGAAAGCTGCATTTCAATAGCTGAACTGATGCACACAGTTATCAACTATTTACTGCTTAAAGTGGCTACTTAAATGTAATAAAAAACATTCTGCAATTTTGCTTTTGTCCAGAGAAAGATTCAAAGAAATTATTAACAATAGATTTAAAAAGCCCAATGAATGTGGGAAATCAAGAAGGAAAGAAATTTTTTTTATACTTTGATTCTATCTTGGAAATCGAAGATGTAGCCAGAAAGATTTATGGGTTAAATAAATGTAAGGTAAGATACAAACACCTTTCATATGTTTTTTGATTCAGTTTGAAATGATGTGTTATTGCCATGTTATCATGACTGATTATTGTATTGATTTCTACTTAGGGAGTTTCTTTAGTCGCAGTGTTAGTAAGAATGTTGATTCTTTGGTAATGTGTTATTTTCAGTAAAGTTATGTAATAAATTTAAAAATAATTGTTACAAAACCAGACAGGCTGCAATGGGTTCACCTTTCTTTTTTTCTTATATGCAAAATCATGTAAATAATACTTATGACTTTGCAGTCACATGGGAAACAGACAGCAGTCTATCAGAATGTCTCATTCAGTTCAGTTTGCAGTATGCTTAGCCCTTCAGGAATTGACTCAGTCAAAAACTGTTTGCCAGACATCTTACTTCTTTACTGCTTGGTGCAAACTACTTTGCCCTGCACTCTTCCTAGTTGAGAAACTCAGTAGGACTGCAAAAGCTGTGAGCTTGCAGACTGTATTTTCCCCTCTAACCTGTGTAATTTCAGGCACTTCTGATCTCTGACTTAAGCATTTTCTTTTTTGTTTCTTGTTTAAAAATAAATGAGCAAAGTGTTTTCTTTACTTAGACAGTTTCTCCCTTTATAGGAATTCAGTAAGAAGCAGTCTATGTCAGTTGCTAAAACAACAGTGCATATCATCTTTGATGAAAGCGGATCACAGGTATGCTGAAATCACTGTTTTCTTGCTTTTTATAATGGTTAGTATGATTATCTAACTAATGGTGACTGACTGTAAAAACAAGGTGTTTTAAATGGCAGTGAACAAAGATAGCTGTACAACTTACAGTTTCTATACTAATTGGCTATTGAATGCAAAGAAGTTCATCTGAATGCGTGTGCATTTGTATGTACAAATATAACATGTTTCAGTATGTTGATTTATGTATATTTGTATATGTGTATATTTAGAATTTTATTAATTTCTGTATGTATGCATCTTCACACACATGCACGTATAGGTTCTGGTGCCAGAAAGTCAGTTGTCACCATGTTTGGAAGAAAAATCTGAAGATGCCAAATTCAGTAAGTCCAAAGCACAGCAACTTCCTGGAATTCAGAGATCTTTGAATAAAAACAACCAAGATAAATGCAAAGATGATTCCTGCAAGGTAAGTTGGAGTTCCTATGATCTTGCAGTAAGCTGTGTAAAACCTTCTTTGAAAAAGTTTGCCAGAATTTATTGATACTGTTTCAAAATACATAACAGAAAAGTAATGTTTGCATATTTTAAAAGACCATTGTTCTGATAGAATTCTAATTAGATAGAAATGATTTTAAAGCATGTTTAGATATCCTATGATATGCAGAAGTTCTGGAAACTTATTAATTATTAGCTATAATAATAGCTGTTAATTAGAGAGAAGTCCTTATAGGCTTGGTATTCACAGAGAACAAGATTTACGAAAAAGCTGAGGTGTGGCTGTCAGGATGTATCCTGTACCTTCATTAACCAAACCACAATCTGTTGGGACTGCTGCTAGTCATTGCTTATTCTCTGTTTAAACTGGGAGGAGCAGAATTGTGAAGCCTTTTGCCACACAATCACTCTACAGTCGTGAAATGGTAAATGCATTGTGGTTCTACCAGAGCTAACTGCAGATACCACAGGGATAGGAGAAAAAGATGAAGTAATGCTGTCGTTTCCTCACCATGCAGTAGTCATGCAGTGCATGTGTTGCTGGGAGTTGTTTTCAGTAAACCTGTTCCTGTGGAAACTCCTGAAAGTAATCTTAGTTCTTTTGATTGATAACAAAGGATGGAATTTGGCCTTGCTTTGTTGAGTTAAATTAGAAAAATAATAATGCTGCTCTCAATTAAAATCCAGAGTTAAATAATCCAAGTGTTATGGTAAACTTTCTCATGGTGAGAATTGCATGAAAATCAGTTGTTACACTGACGAGTACAGCAAGAGCAGCTGGTGTTTCAATAACAAAGTGTTAAAAGTCTCTTGGAAATAGGTTTCTAAAATCTTATGTTGTCACCCTTAAGACTGTATATAATCAAGTGTTTTTCCTTGCCTCAAGATCACCACGTCTTGTAAAAGGAAAGTGTCTGAAGCATCAGTGCTTATTCCTGCAACTGCAAGATTTTCCACACGGAGTCCACTGGTATTTCTTAGTACATGTAAGTTCGCAGGTACTTTCAGGGTAGAAATAAGCTGTAGTCTTTGAAGTTGCTAACTGTGAATAATATGGTACAGGAATGAACTGTAATCCATTGCAGGGCTGGAAAGGAGTAATGTGGGCTTCATAAAATCTCTCCAGCAGATGCTTTAAGCTTGAAATTTTTAAAGTAGGCCACCTGCTATACTGTTCCATAGACATGATGCAGACAGAATAACATTCCAAACAGCTACCCATTTCTTGTAATTACACTGACAGTAAGTTGTTTGTGCTGGGGCAAGCTAAGTCGTCTTGTGAGGTGAAGTAGTAAACAATAGAGTAGAACTAAAATATGGGAGGTTTTTTCTTGCTTTCCTTGTGACTGCCATTCACCATTGGTTTAAAGAATTCTTGGCAGTGCTTTTATGGCAGTCGAAGTGGGTAATCAAGTTTTTCCCATATGTCTATCCACCATCTGCATTTTACTGGGATGTTTTAGACAAAACAATTTGCAAGCCTGTGATGTTCATTGTGATGGTTTTGTAGAAACTGTTTCTTTGGGAGTCGATGATGTTTCTTGTGAATAAGGTGGAATCAAGGGCAGGTTTGAATTGCAGGTCTAGTGCTTCAGATGCTTACTTCAAAAGCTTTTTCTTATTAAAAAATATATATAAGGAGGATACTTTTCTTTGTCAGGAGACAAAGGAGTCATTGTTTCTTCCTAACGGCGCTACTGTAATACACTTAGCACTTTCTAAAAAGAAGTGACTTACAAGTCCAGTAGAGGCTGCAGATGAAACTAGTGGCCAAGCACGTGACTAATTTTCTGTTTTAATGGTCTCAAATGATCAATATACCTGTGTATATCCCTTTGTCATGCAATTAAAGAGTAACAGGCTAGAAATTAAAGGATTTTCAAATTAGGGTGGAACGGGACCAGAGGGAATGGTTTCAAGCTACGGCAGTGGAGTTTCAAACTGGACATGAGGAAGTATTACTTTTCAGAAACGGTGGTCAGGCACTTGGATGGACTGCCCAGGGAGGTGGTGGAGTCACCGACCCTGGGGGTGTTCAAGGAAAGACTGGATGTTGTGTTGAGAGACATGGTTTAGTGGGAGCTATTGGTAATAAGTGAACGGTTGGACTGGATGAGCTTTTAGGTCTTTTCCAACCTTGGTGATTCTATGATTCTAAGACAGAGATAAATTCTGTACTTTTTTTTAATTTGGAACTTACTACATTATCTATTCCAGTAAAATGTGTTTTAACTGTAAAATATCTTCATGCATGACTAAATGTTTTCTTCCGAAGCACGGATGTAAAACATTGCTTTCTTCCAGACATCCACTGTATATTGGCTCATTAACCTCTGTGTGACTTAACTGAAGTCAGTAGAATTATTAAAGGTGCATACTGAGTTTACATAAATGCTAGTCACTCTTTTAAAGTTTATGGAATAAGAGATCATGGGCAAAGCTCTTCATATTGGTCTAGAATTATAACACATCTCTCGTTTGCTTTCAGCCACTCCTTCTAAAGGACGATGCAAGTTACCTTTGAAAATGATGAGCTCTGTTGAAAGGTCTAACAGTAATGCAGTAAACGGAACCAGAACTAAAAATTTATATCAGGAGCTTACTGAAGTATGTATGTCATCTTTAGCTAAGTCTTTTACTTAGAATAGCACGTGTTCTACTTTGTTCCTAATTTGCACTTGGAAGAGCTAGCGTTCTGCAATCAGTGAATAACTTACAGAAAACAGAGTGGTTCTTGGGTCAGATTCAGGTCAAATTCCTGATTGCAGGATTCTGAGGCATTTTATATGGACATGCTTCAGAAAAAGACTTCATTGTATTGAATGTATCATTTAGAATACTTTGAGTGTTACTTAGTACTAAAATTTGTTTTGCTTTTATGGATTGTAATGGTCACTATTATTAATTGTACTTTCTAGAATGGGCAAAGATGTACATCAGATAATGAATTTTGTGAAACAGAGCAGAATACCAGGAAATCAAAAATCAGAGAAGAGGCAGAACTACCAGAAAAGGTATTGGAACCAGTACTTCAATGAAAAGAAGTAATGATTCAATATTTTATTCAAGAAATGATAAATTTGAGACACCTTTTTGTTTGTAATTTTATGTAACTGTTTTATTTTGCGTGTTGCTCTTCAGGCCACACTCCCTACAGTAGAAGTTTCAAAATTTTTACCAGAAGCAGAAAATGGAACCACTGAAAAACAAACTTTAGGCAAGTAATTTTACGAGAGTTATTTGTCCTTATTTTATTTTTTTAAATCTTGTACATTCCTTTTGTAATAACGATTGGTAACAAATTAATATCTCATTAGATATCGTTCCTGATTCCCAGCAAACAGGGAGAAGCAACAAACAACTGTAAGTACTGAAAAGGAATACCAAGTCACTGCTGGTTTGTGACTCAGTGCAATGAAAAGGTTTTCAGTTCATGAAAAGGTTCATCTGTTGTTTTTAGCTTTATAATTGAAGTCTGATTATTTTGAAAATAGTGGTCATTAGCAAGATCAGAGTGGTAGTTTAATGTTCAGTGATAATAAGGAGAATAATTCTTTCAGATTACAACAGATAGTAAAGTAAAAATGACATGGGTTTGCATACAGTGAGCTGTGCCATAAGAAGTAGTAAACAGATTCCAATTGTAACTCTGTAGGGGCACCACATTGTTGTCTTGTTCAGTTTTAGTGCTGGCCATAGGATACCAAAACATCTTCTTTGCAACTGTGTTTTTGTATATATAATTTGTGAAGTTCTGTCATTTTACAAAGCATAGATTAATTGAACAATAGTAGCAGGTTTACACACCAGTGTAAAATGCATTGATAATCTACAAGCTAGCTCTGTTTCCCTATGTTGTGATGCGTGTTTATTGTAGTTCAGCCTCACTTCCTGCAATTCACTGATAACACAATGGTATCGTTTTTATTAGACTGCCTGGTCATTTGAAAAGTTCTTCTGATAAAAAAAGAACAAGGAAAAAAAGAATGTGTTCTGTCCCTGAGAAGAATATAGCAACTGGTGACAGACAAAAGCTAAATCTGTCATTGGAACAATCATCTCACACAGGTTGTGTTCATATTTTCTTAAGTGTTAGCTCAAAAATGGTGTTTCAGATGAGATTTTAACCTATAGTTGTGCTTTCTTTCTGACTTAGCTCCTATTCTTAGTGAAAGAGCTATGAAACATAAAACTTTTTGTTCGGTTTTTGGAAGTGCTTCTCCAGATAAACAAATAAATAAAAGAAAGCAACAAAGAAATGGAACTGAAATCACAAGGGAAGAAAACTGCAAAGTACTGAGTGGTGAGTCAAAGTGCATTAATAACTTGGAACAGAAGCAGTTAAATACAGAATGGAAAACTATTTCAACTACTACTGAAACATTTAAAACATGTCTTTCTGATAAAGTGCCAGAAACATCTTTGCATTCTGATTTTACAAAACACTACAATACTGAAGAGGAAGCTGACGTTCTCTCAAGAAAGGAGACTGCAGGTCATGAAAAGCCAAAAATGGTGAGAGCTTCTTTCCTTCATTTTTTCAACTTGTAATTGGGAGAATTGTTGCACTGCTAGTATTTCCAAATTTATTGTACTTTCATTTACTCACAAACTTATTTTTACATTGATTTTTTCAACTATTACAGAGTGAATTAAATGTCAGGCAAACAGTTTACTTTTTCAGCTTGACCTGTTAAAGATCACTTTAGTCTGTATATTTTTTTTAATTGTGCTTTTTATTAATAGTTCTTAAATATGGACTGGCTTGTTCTGCTCATAAACATCTCATCCATTACTTCTAAATGTTACACTATGTTAAAACATTCAGAACAAGATATCTGCCAGACTCACATAAGGAAAATGATTTTCAAAGGAATGTGATTTAGTACATCTAGAAGACTGTTTAATTAGGTTTAGGTGATTGTTAGGAACTAGTAGCTGTTTCAGCCTTTTCTTTTTGCTGAATGGTGTCAAAGTTGAGTATTAAACTCTATTATTTCAGAAAATAAAATCTAAAGAAATCACAGATGCAACAAAATCACTAATTAGTAAAATCAGTGACAGATATAAAGATGAGAAGAGCAAAACAAGAGACTCTTTGGTTTTCAACAGGTATGAAGTAAACAATTTACTTATGTTTTTTCTGCACAGCGCTACATCTGCAATCTATTCCACTGTCTACAGTTATTGCACATCTGGCTTTTATATGGCTTGTTCACTTCTGATAAACCACCTTGTACTAAAGAGTAAGCTGCAGTAATTGAAATAATTGAAATTGCTAGAGATTTCATTCAGTGTTCTTTCACTCATTTGTTCACAGAACTTTTCTCTGGAGAAAATTTAGCTGGGATATTTGGTGGATGTCTGTTCAGGGTTCAATGTTACGAAGATCCTACTTGTCATCTCCTGAAATAACTGCCTGTTAGATGTGCAGACCCTGTAGTATTGCTACCTGATCTGGAATTTTTCTACAGCACAAAAGAAATGAGTGGGACCTTATTTCTTTTTAGCCACTTGTTTTTGTATTTAAATGCTTGAATACCTTTAAATTTGTTATATTGTGTGAGGCTCTTATTTATATAAGCACTACTTTAATGTAGATATTCCAGCTACCATTTAATAAAACATACTGTTGGGTTTTTGGTGGCTTTTGTTTGGTTGTTTTTTTGTTGTTGTTTTGTTTTGTTTTAGATCGTGTCCAAATAAATCCTGTTTCAGTGTCAATAAGGTAACTTAAGCTTCTGCTTCTCTTTGACTCTTTTCTTATTGGATATGTGTGCAGATATGAGGACAGCTGGTAGATGTGAACCAAAAGTTCAAAAATGTTGATGAATGTTAATTATGCACTGATTGTTTCTAGTTGACATACTTTATGTACAGGTTTATGTTACCTGGAATAATATTTTTATGAGGGCAGTTAGCCAGAGAAACCCAAATTAATTTCTGCTTATGTATTCTATAATTGAATCTGTTTACTTATGATTAATATGGACTCCTTTGAATGTGCCAATGCTAAATTTTTAGAATTAAAATATTATAACAGCCAAGCTGGACTGAATGAAACTATAGAATTCTCAGATGAAATAAAGCCAGGATACAAAAACTAGTCCTAATGTATGGTGGGAAAACAACACAAGGCTTTCTTAGCATCCTTATAGAATAAGTTCTTAAAGGATTTAGCTTTTACTAGCTTTTTTCCAGTTTTGGCATATTCTATTATTGCTTATCTAGTGCAAATCTGAGAATCTTCTTGAGTTTTTTTCCTTAAATTCATGCTGAAAACTTTTTTTTTGAGGAGGCAGTTAGTATGGTCCAAATTTGATAGATGAGTAACTTGTGATTTATGTCTAGGAAAACATTCAGAATAGAAATCGGAAATCTACTACTTGTCTGGATACGGCTGCTGATCATAGCGTGTAAGTAGTTATCACATTTTCAAACAAAATTTCCAGATACCCTTATTCAACTTTGAAAAATAATCATTTATTCACTCACAAAACTGATTTCTGCATCTGTTTGACAGGTATGATGTCTACAACTTCAACGTCAGTGTGTTTAATGAGCCTACAATAAAAGTCGGAGTAAGAATATAACTGAAATGCTTATGTAATTAATAGAATGTAAAGTAGCTTCATCAAATTAAAGTTATGTCTATTGAAAGTATCATCACCAGTTAAAACTCAAATTAGCATTACTGAAAGGAGTGAGGGAAAATAGCTTTGCCATATCCTGGTTCTTATGTTCATACACCTCCATCACTTTCAGATGTATGATGGTATATGCTGTCTTACAGTTCTGGCCACTTAAAGCTTAAAGGGTTTTCTTGAACTAAGAATGAAACAGTTCATTGGGAGTGTTACATATCTGTTATCCTAAAAACAGTATTGCCTTCTTTTCAATTTCCTAGCTTGTAAAGCTGGCTTTGCCCAGCTGATTGAGTAAAAAGAAAAGGTAAAAGCAAATGAAAGACAATGTTTTGCCTTTGTTGTTAAGCAGAGCCTGCTGAATAGGTGACAGTAGTGGAAAAAAGTGGTTGGAAACTAATGAATTGTTTGAAGACATGAAAGCTTCAATCAGTTCCGGTTGGTTTCAATTATCCGATTTTAAATAATTTCCAAGATGGAAATTAAGTTGGAATTTGATTGCTGAGTATAAAAACTGAGCTAAAAAGCCCTTTGTGTTATCTGGTGGCCTGTTTCATTTTGTTTAAAAAGAATAATGAAGAAAAATTTTAATTTGTTTCTCATTTATTTACATTTTTCTAGATCCAAGACTGCTGTGCTAAGGAAGCAAACACTCATACAGATCCAAACAAAAAAGAGTATGGATGTCATTTTGTATTTTTGTCCTTTGGCTATAAGCAAGTACAGTACTGTCTACATTCCCTACCATTGCATTATGAAAATCCAGGGAACGTGTATATCTGTACTGCTTCTTTTCATGCAGTAAACATAGTTGCTGTCATCTCCTAGGCTGTTTTATGGTTATTCTTTGGAAAACTTCTACATAACTTGTAAAAATAAAGACTGTGTTTCATGAAGAAAATGCTCTTCAAAATTCTCTTTGTAGAATACTGAAGGGATTTTAATCTCCTGAAATGGGGTAGCTTTTTGTTAACGTCTAGCTTGCAAAAGGACACATTGCTAGGTGTGCTGTTACTGATCTTTAGCAAATACATGCATGCTTCGATGCTTAAAGCAAACAGGTCTTTCTAAAATGAGTTTCAAATGAAATCTTGGTACAGCCATTTGAAACCTTAAGCCATACTTCAGATGGAAAGCTGAAAAATTTGGTATTTTAAATGTTGATGTGCTGTTTAAGGGTGTTTTTTCTTTTTTTAATCAAGGAACCCAGGTGAAAGTAAAACTAGCTCTGAAATGAAATCAGGAAGAAAAGTAAGGTTCAGATTTTTTGTGAATCATCTTACCTTGTCTTTCTGTATTTAAATACCAGTGTTGAAAGTGAAAGATAAATTATAAAAGTAAATGAACAACACAGAACAATTTTTTTTTTTACAGACTAGATACAATCAAAGCAAAAAGCATTTTTTCAGTGACACAGACACAGAATACAGAGGAGATGACAGCAAGACAGACATCAGCTGGCTACAAAAATCCAAAGCACCATCTAAGCCACAGATAATTGATTACAGTAGAAATAAAAACTTAGGGAAATCAAAAAGAGAAGGCAAAAGTAAGAATCCTTCTTAATTTCTTAAATATGCTGCAATAAAATTTGTCCATTAGAGTACAGCTTGTGGCAGCTTTTATTTTTACATATAGTAGGTTTTAGTTGTTCCGTTTCCAAGCACAAAGACTTCTTGAATCTGATCTCCTAACCATTTAGAAAGGTTAATTTCCAGAAAGTCTGCATTTTAATATGTAAAATTATTGGAGAATAGGACTCGAGCTTTTTCTCAAGAAAAAACAACCCTATCTTTTTAATAAGTGCACTGAATGTTGTTTACTGGACCATCTTTGTAGTGATAAAATTGTTCAGCAATTTTACAGTTGAAACTCTCTAAATGTTGAGAATTTAATGATGATGCTGATTTTCTATTTTTATGTACTGTAACATCAGAGAAGTTCTCTGAACTCCCTTGCTGGATGGATACGCCCAAAGGCAAAACAGCAAAAGAGAAAAAGGTAAATGTAAATTTTGCAAACTGACTTGAAATACATATTCATTCCAGAAACTGCTTTTTACATAATTTTTTTTTGTAAATACGAGCATTTCATACATACATCTACTGCAAGGTCACTTTCTAAATAAAGTTAGCTGCTTTCAGGTGCTATAGTTTTTTTAGGTAGTGTTTAGTAAGTATTTCAGGCATAATGCAAGCTGTGAGTTAGAAATATTACTGTACTTCAATACTTTTGTAAGTTTTTTTTACTGAACTATTGATTATATCTATTTACTGTGTAATAATAATCTACTCCACTGAATGTGTCATTAGCTTTTTGCCGAGGGTTTTCATGTGGCTAATATGCTTAGTTGCACATCAGTGGCTCTGAGACTATAGCCTCTTTAATTGAATATAGGCAATGTACTGAAACTAAAGAGAAAAATGCTTCACATTAATGAGGAATAATAATTGGAAGGTGTTGTGAACCTATTAAAACTTTGGGTATAATAAATTATGAGTATGTTAGTGTAAGTTCTTTGTAAATACTTATAAACAACAGCTTTGAAAGAAGCAAACATAAACAAATGTTACTCTGTCCCCTTCAAACCACTTTTTGGTCTGTCAGACTGTACTATAATTATTTAAATCTCCTTAATGGTAGTAGCTTAAAACTGTTCAAGTGCATTCAGTTTAAATTGTGGACATGAAAATACTGCTGATTGTATGTACCAGTGGTGATGTCCATGTAAATCAAATCAGCTCTTAGAGTATTTAATTAATGAGCACGGAATAGGTGTACAGCTGTCCTTTTTTTAGTAGCAAGCTTCCCCAGAACTTCCTGTTAAAGTTAATTTGAAATAATGGATTTCAAGTAATTAAAGTAGCTTACCTGCTGTTTACTCTTCCATATTTATTATTTTGATATGAATTGAAGATGTTCTTATTTTTCCAAAGCTAACAGAACGTAAAAAACAAAGTTCAGTAATTGATGACATGATGGAACAAACCACCAGACCAAAACGACCTAAAAGAGCAGTGCAACCAAAAAATTACAAAGATCCTTCCAGTTCAGAGTCAGGAAGTGAATTTTCAGCATGTACCTATAAGAGGGAAAAATCAAAAGGACAGGTATGCAGTTGCAGTGTAAAAAATCTACTTGTGCCCTGTTTTTCAAACTAGACTCTGGTTTACTTTTTGTTTTATGCTCCTGAATCTGAAGTTTCCAATACGAACAAGTTGTGTCATTTTTAAATTATGAGTAGTTAGCTGCTAAGGAAATACATTCAAAATAGTCACAGTAGCATGTCAGCTTCTGTGTATGAAATGTATTCAGCTGTGAAGTGCTGCTGTATCCTTTATTTAACAACACAAAAAACTTTTTTTGAAAATGTGTATGCTTTAAATGAGAGATTTTAGTAAGCCTGGGAGTTGTTGTTGAGATTATGTGATTCTGATAATGCTATGCCAATTCTGCATGCAATAGAAAATACTGAATTGATATAGGGGGGTTATGTCCATACATTTGTTGAGAATCTAAATAGAGTTTAATTAAGTGGTGATGAGTGCTAAATAAAACCAATTCATTCATTTAACATCACATTTCAATATACATGGAAAAGCCTGTTGACTTGGTTGAATTCTGAAGTATCAGGATTTGTCCGTAATGGTTCAGAACTTTGTAAGAATAGAAATTTGCTTCAGAATTAGCTTCTGAATTATGCTAATTCTGTGCATATTGACATTAGAGCAGCTGATGTCCTTCTTAATTATATTCCTTTTTGGATCTTTTGTTTGTTCAACTGTGCATAAAAATAATTCTCTCTTTACCTATTTGTATGTTTACAAGTAATGTTTATATTGACTCATTATTTTAATAGAAAGGTGTGAATGAGAAAAACAAAAATGTTAATCATCAGAAGGATCTCCAGAATTTGGTGGAGCCAAAGACAGCAGCAAACTGTGTAAATAAAGCATTTATTAAATCAAAGAACTCTACAGAACAAGAGGAAATTGAAATGTCTTCACCTGAGAGTCCTGCATCTCTAGAGACAATGAGATGTATGCATTTTGATTTTAGTTTATAGAAATACCACAGCAAGTGTTGGTAGTTAAAATGAAGATTGACACAGTACTACAATTTTGCATTTATTTCATGGCTTTAACATGAGATCTCCTAAATCAGTGTGTATACTACTTAATTTAAGGAAATGTGTTAATGTCATTAACTCTCTTATAGATTTTTACACTTGTTTGATACCAACATTTTATAGTTGTGTAAGTGAAAGTAGGCTGTTAGAATTAATCTGCTAAACAGCTAAAATAATGTGGGGGATGCAAAAAGCATCGTGTGGCAAGAATTATACCAATAAGTGGAGTAAAATTTCCCCCATCTGTGACTGGTAAACACCTAGATTAAGGACAGTCAGCAGTATGGGGCTTTAGTATGCTGGTTGTTTTTTTTTTCTTTCATTCATGCTGAAAGTTAAGAAATTTCTCTCTAGGTGCTGAGAGAACATTAGAGGGATGTGTTACTCAGGACCATACTTCTAGTGAGGGGTCACCTGGTCTTCAGAAGTCAACACCAGAAGAAAACGAAACAGTAGACTTTGAGAAAGGAATCTCTCCAAGTAATCTCTGTCTACAAAAGAAAAATACTCAACATACGCATCTAAACCAGTCTCCTGAAATGACTGTTACAAAGTTAACACTTGGAAAGAAAAGTTTTTCACCAGTTCTAACTGCTCCATATTTGGTAAGAACGTTAAAGGTACTTTACAGTTATTTTAACTGAAGTTATTCCATTCAGCTGCTACATGTCTTAATGCTTTTGGAGATCTCATTTCAATAATGTTTTTTTTTTATTTGTTACTGTGTAGCTCAACTTAACTTCAGTAAGCCCACATAAAGCATACTGTGGAAAAAACACAGAGGGATCTGTATCTGAAACATGCGATGCTGATGAAAATTTAAGTTTTAGACGTGGCTTTTCAGACAAAATTTCTATTGAAGGAAAACAACAAGACATTACTAAACCTGTCATGAAAAAGAAAGGAGAGGTATGTTACTAGATTCAGTGCTCCTTAGAAAAAAGCTGCTGCTTTTCACGTGTTTTATATACTTTACATTTCCCTGAGATCTCATCAAGTATATTTTCCTTACTTAATGTTAAGCACCAGATATAATGCTTACTTGTGACTTCCTTGAAAAACACTCATCCCACAACAATACTACTCAGTTTTTAAATACTTGAAATAATGTAAGGAGATCTATAAAGAAAGAATTGTATCCCAACAAGGCTAATTATACAAATATCTTAAAAATATATGAATTATTTTTTTTTAACTTGAGCTTCAGTGAGAATGATAAAATATCTTTCATAGATTCCACAATTGTGACACTTGAATGGAGAAATTCTTGAGGTAGGAAAGTACAGCACAGTAATGTATTAATATATCTAATAATCTAATATAATGTATTACTTAATGTAACAACTGTTGTAGCGTTGGCAAATTAAACAGAACTCTACACCTTCAACCCATTTCTCATATTCTTTTTTTTCCTGGTGAATAAAGTGCTTTTGACTCAGTTGGGAAATAATGTTTGTGTACCATTGCAAGTAGCTATTAGTTCTTACTGCTTATTTGTCTTTTTCCTACTATTGTTTATTTCTTTTAGGAATTATCTCCAGTATCTGTGTCCACTGGAAGTGAAGTACAGTCTTGGAGTCAAGAACCTTATGGCCCTGCACATGAGTCAGGTACAAACACTCAATTTAAGGCGAAAGACTGTGGCTTTCTGTGTGACTGTATTGGTTAAGAAAAGCATTTATTCACCACAGAAGATTCAAATAGTTGTGCCATGTTTCTCTTCATAGTTTTGCAGTATCATTCAATTTTTTTTTTTTCCTATTTTCTCTGCTTTAAGTACCCTCCAAAAACTGGAACTTGGGCTCCAAAATGCAGTTACTGTAAAGAGAGCTTGTTCTCTTCAGAAAGTAGTAGATCAAGAAGCATTCTCACTGATACTGTGTGCATGGGGGGGACGGTGGGGGGGGGAGGAGGAGCAATAGTAGTATTATCTGGAATATAGGGTTGATAGTGAATCTCTTTAATAAGAGAGAAGTCTTGCATGAGTAAAAAATTCTGTATTCCACTGAAATTTGGTTCATGAACATGAAGTGGTCATTAATATCTGAACATGCCCTGTATAAATGCAGTGCTCTTTTTTTGTTTAATGGTTTAATTGTATTTTGAGTCAGAGGGCCAACAAACTTTTCATCTTCTGATCCCATTGTTCCAAATAATTCTAAAATGAAACATTTTTTCACATTTATTTAAGGGCCGACTTCACATGTATTTCTCAAACGAAAGTATCAGCGAGATACAGAAAGCCGTTCTGATGAAGTAGAAACAAGCAAAGAGGAGGAAAAGAAAAGAAGCAGAAGAATAAAGTTACAGCCTAGGAAGTTATTTAAAACAGATGAAGCTGTTACTTACAGAGGTTAATTATGAAATAAAAGTTGATTATAGTTGTGGAGAAGTTTGACAATAGTGTAACTTAGTTTCAATCCAAGAAGGTAACATCCATAAAAGTTTCAAAATGGTAATATCTATTAAGTTTCAAAAAAATATGCAAAATATTTAGAAGCTCTCCTTTTTAACAGACAGAAATTGATATGAAAATAGAACTGGGTCAGCTGTCTACTTGGGAAAATTAATCTGTTTTTAATAACAGCCCAATTGCTATTAAAAAGGATACTTCACTCTGAAGTATGATGTATGTATGAAGTATGATCTTTTTTTTTTTTTTTTTTTCAACACTACAGAGTATGAAAATTTGTCCTCTGTATCTGTAAGTGATCCAGCTGCTTTGGATGTGGACATCTGGGAACCTGGTTGTTCAACTATCGATATATGTCAGAAGCTCCAAAAAGAATACACTAAGAAAATTGAGGCAAGATATTTTATGTACAGTGTTAGTTATGTATGTGGTTGAATGTCCATATGAATTGTAGTTTTGTCTTACATTACAAAATTTGCTTAAAAAAGAAATTAAAAAATCAAAGCATTGTAGAGCTTTTAGAAATTCGTTAAAGGGAAAAAAAACACAAGCCAAAACAATGCATCTGCTCACCTAAGACAGCTGCAAGATTGCAGTTTTTCCTCCATGTGTGCTTTCTCTATCCTCAGGAATTCTGTTTTTCAAGTAGTGTATTTCTAATTCTATCTTAAAAAAAACTTAAAAATAAAAAAAATAAAGGAAGGGAAAAAAAAAGGGAGAGAAAAACCTATTATTTTATTTGATACTATTGCTTTTTTCTTCAAGTGAAAATGATCTGCAAGTAATGTTAAAATACCTCTACAGAGCCGTTCACGGAAAATGGAGCATTTTGCAAAGCAGTCATTAAGAGCTGCCAACCAGCATTTGACAACGTTGAATCAACAGCTTCTTGAATGCAGGTCTGTAAAGAAATAATTATCTTAAAACAATTAAAAATCAATTAATGCCTTCTAACCTTTTTTTTTCTTTTTTTTTTAATAGGCTCAAGCAGCTGGACAGATTTCATATTGTTATTCTTCAGGAAATTGAGAATTTTGAGAAAGATTCTCAGTCCCTGAATAACATGGAGAAAGAATTACTGGTTTGTTTTTAATTACTTTATCACATAAAAAACAAGTTCTTGTGTAATCTATGGATTACTTATAAGATCTTTCACTTTACATCATTAATTCTGATTTTTAAAAAACCTCTTTGTCTTCCTTGTAGTTGAGTCAAGTTTCAAATAACGAATTTGAAATGTCAGGATTTGATTATGCTACACTGTTAGAATTTCTGTCACTATTAGGTTTTCTTCCTGGAACAAACAACTCATGCTACTTCTAATGGGCTGTTAATGCCTTTTCATGAGCCTTATTTCAGTTGGCCTGCATTTCAGGCTGTGTGTTCTGAGACAGGTCAGTTGCCTGCTGCATGGTGTAATGTGAAATTTAAAAAAAATGTTCTGCCAACCAAACTTATGTTTGTTTGCTTTAAAGCCTCAAAGGTGACTATTTACCTACTTCACATTCTGTGCTGAGCCTATAATTGTAGTTTATAGTATTCAAATTAGATTGTAGTCATTCCTAGTTCAGAAAATACCAGTTACTGTTGGCTGTCATCTGTTAATATCTTTCTTTCCAGACTTTTTGGAAAAAAAATAAGCATACTTTCAGTACGTTCATGAAGAATGAGCAGCAGAGGTGAGTAGGCTTTATTGGTGATGTTTCAAAATTCCTTTTCTGATGTAAATTCAAGAAAAGTAAGCTACCTTCTGTTTTTTTTTTTATGCAATTGCTCTCTTCCATAAAATAAGGATAACAGGCGAGATGAGAAAAAGAGATTAAAACATAACTGTTCTCCAATAGCAATAATGATGTTAAGACTTATTCACGCATTTAAGTGCCATTAGACTACAAATAATGAAATGTGCTCATGATATTTGTGAAATGTTCACATATAACAGATCTATTTTAATTGATTTATACTTCTTTAGGCTGCAGATCCTTAAAACATCCTTTGAAAAGAACATCCACCATAGTGTTGACTATGAAGAAAGTGTTTTTACTTCAGAGGTAGTACAAGCTTTCAGTTCTTTTTCTGGTTTTAATCATTTTTATTTCTTCAATTATGCTAACAGATGCCATTATTCATTTTTTTTTTCCAAATAAATTCCTTGTTCTTATAGAATTGCATTAATGCCACGTAGGTATTTTCATAGCTTTTCCTCTGTCATCAAATACTTGTAATGCAACAATATTCTGTGCTTAAGGGCTAGATTCCACCCATTAGGAGGTGCCTACAATTATCTGTAAAATCACTGCAAGATGATTGCTGTATTCTGTGACTGTTCACCATGGTTACTCATTCAAGAAAGATCAACGTAGATGCAAACAGTCTCTCTCCTTAAGCAAGTAGATGGATGTACATCCTTTGATTTTACAGTTTTAAGCCCTTTAGGGATGTAATTGTCGTACTGAAAATGTGTTATCAATTGCAAGCAGAGACAATGCATTTGGTATAAGTACCTTTTTATAGGTGCATCTGATGAAAGAAGACATGAAAGGACTCCAAGAGAAATTTCTTAAAGAAATGGTAAATGAAGTTGTCTTGTCTTCCTTTTTGTTTGCTTATGATAATGTAAGTATAGTTGTTTGAACATTAGAGTTTACAGCTTTTAGCAATTTATCGTCCTATCAGGAGGGAAAAAAAAAGAAAAAAAAGAGAGAATCTAAGTATTACTGGTATTAAATATTTTAAGCCTTTTATGTGATTGATAAAAGTAGCCAGTATGGATATGCTATTTGATTTCTGACTCTTAGTATTTTGAATGTTAACATGGAAAAGTATCATGTTGACACTTTATAAGCAGGATACTATACACAAGAATTACAATGTGGAAAAAAAAGAAAAGGTTTTATTCAAAGTAAGTGGTAACTGTAATGCTTTCTGCACAGCAAGAAGAGGAACTGATTAATGTTCGCAGAGGATTGCAGACATTATTTCTAGCAGAAGATGGAAAATTCTGAAGTAGTACTTCCATGTACCTTCCTGAAAGTCAAGCTCAATATAAACACTCATTTTCAATATAAAATTTGACTTTTTTTTACTCAAGGAAACTACTGTAATGAAAGCATATTTTCCTTAATAAAGTTGAAGTCTTTTTACTCTGGCTTCTCCATAAGACTTATCCCATTATTAGAAAAAATTGGGATGATTTTACTGAATCTACTAAAATACAATACTTTTTTTTTATTATTATTTTTAGCTAATGCTGTTTCTGAGGAAGTCTTTATTAACATTTTTCATAGGTTATTTAACTGAACTTTTAGAGAAATCGCTTCAAATTTCACTTCAAATCTATCTCTTGGGTTGTTGTGTACAGAATACCACTTTTCATCCTTTTTTCTGATCCAGAATACAATAAGAAATTATTTGAAGATCCAGTCTCATGTGCTGATTTAATCCTATTCATTTGTGGCATTGTACTTCAGTAAGAGTTTCTAACAGAAAATGACTGTAAAATTTTATGGTTGAACTATATTGCAAATATTAATATAAATATTTCATGAAAAATGTAGTGTCTGTCTTGTTTTTACTTCATTTCCAGAGAGAAAAATGACACGATTCAAAATTCAGTGTTAAGCTAAAAGTTAAAGTAGAAAACTCTTTGACAGTTCCTCAAAGAAAATGGGAAATCTTACTGATTTCTAAATCACCTGTGGTAACTAATACAATGCAGTCTTTATTTCTAGGGATTAAGGAAAGTCCATAGTCATATAGAGTAGCTTGAACTCAGCAATTTGGAAAGCTAGCCTTACTCGCCTTGAGCAAGGGATTTGACTCAGTGACCTTCAGAAAGGTTCTTTCCAACTTAAATTAATCTATGACCTTACATGAAAATGTTTATTAAAAATACCCTCTTTATAAAGCAACTTCTTAGGTCAGAAATGGCTGTGAGACATTTCCATCCCGCATGCAATGGGAGTAGAATGGAGAGTGAGTGCTCTTACACCACGGAGTGGAAGTAGCTTATTGTGAATATATCGTTTTAAATGAAAAATACTTCTTATAAATTAAAATTTAAACATATGAGTCTGTGTTCTTCCAGGGAAGAATTGAAGTAGAAAATAATGTGGTCTATTCATTCCATCTACGTAATTACAGCACAAAACTTTTCTAACTTTTGACCTTTTTTTTTAAGCCTGCAATCATTGCCGTCCCCACTAGATGGACCTCGTGAGATGCAGAGTTCTTCACTGATCTAATCTGTGTTTTAAATATTTTCTCTTAACTGTACAGGGTTTTAAAAAGTACACTTTACAGCCCAAGTTTTTTTTTTTTTTTTTTTTTTTTTTTTTTTAACACTGCACACAAACTGCAAAAAATAATGTTATTTTTAGTAAGGACTTCTATTGAAATAGAAGTATGAAATTTTACTATCCATCCTCTAGTCTTTACTGAACCCCATTCACTTCTAAAAACATTGAGCAAATACAATCAAATTCAACGAAGATACAAATATAAAGCATCATGATGAAGTATTCACAAAAGCACAATGTCTTTTAGTCTGTGGCTTGGAAAATCCAAAGTCATTCAAAGCAGACTAAAATGACAGCAACTGTGTGCTGGAGGGCTGTTTCTTTTTTTCTTTGGGTAAAGATCGGCACAGGGAAAATGGCCTCCCTGGGCTAAGCTGCCTTCTGTGAAGAGTATCTGAAGTTCTAACAGAAGCAAGCGCACTAAAGCACATGCAGTCTCCAAACGACTTGCTAGATTTGCCCATCAGTAGACTAGAGTGACATTGGTCAGCTGACAGTGATCGTGTGTGGCTCTGAAGTAGTCACGATTTTATGCCTCTTACCAGAGCGAAGCAGAAAGAAGGTTAGGATGCTTGTGATGGATGGACAGCTGAGGATGTGGGGAAGAACCTTGAGCATGTTGCTGCACAACTACAAGATAGCTAAGTGGAAGTAGTAATACAGCTCATAGGCATTGTTTGGAATTAAAAAAAAATTAAAATACCCTTAAAATATTGTATTTTTTAAACATACTTTGAATGTATGTTACACATTTTTATCAGTGAAGGTCTGTGCTGTCTGCACCAGTGCCAAACAGGCATGTTACTTTCATGGACTATTGGTTAAATCTGTAGTTAACAGTTCCTAAGCTAAACGATGTGGTTCTGCCTATGAGACACTTCTCTCCTTCCTTCTAACCCTTTTTTGTACATTACAGCTGGAATATAACTACCAATAAGTATTGCATTAATAAAAAATTGTTGATAAATACAATAAACTGTATGTTAAGCGGACATTTACATATTTCTGTGAAAAACCAAGTTAAAAAACTGCAATTAATAGAAAAAAAAATCTTTGGATCAAGTATTTGGGTGATTCAAGTCTTTGATAAGTAAAATGAACATTAAAAAGATGTACAAAACTACAGCTAGCTACAGAGCAAGCTGAATTATCTGTGTCAATTTGATTGGTCCAGGGCGTGACATCTCCTGTGATTCATCAGTTTCTTCTAGGGCTGCCCTTATGCGTGTTTTGTGTTACGCTGTATGTTCTTACCTTCAGCTCTTAAATGTTCGTTTACCTGAAGTGTAATACTATTTGTATTCTTGCATTCCCACACTGAGCAGCTGAAAAGGCCCAACGTCCATCCGCTGTTTGCAGTTTCTACTTACTAGCTGGCAGCAATTTAGAAGTAGTCTATACAAACAATTCTACGTACCTTTAGTTTCTTGATTATTTTCATGCTTTGTGGCTTCACAGAGATCACCTCAACAAAGCTGTAACACAGCACCCTCTTCAGATTTCTGATGTTGAGTCACTTCCTAAAAGGACAGCATTTAAAATACCTGCAGAGAAATTTTTGTCTTGGGAGTTTGCATCATTTTGTTGCTGTCCCATAAGGCATCCTTTCCAAGTATCAGTGTATTTTTCCTTTTGTTTGTTTGTTTGTTTTCCTTGAGAAGAATTCTCAGATGTTTCTAGATGTCAAGCATTATTTTATATTTTTCTAAACCAATTCCATTTGCTTATCATCAGTTAGTAACTTCTTTCCTTTTACTATCAAGAAATCATTAAACTATATATATACATTTTTACTATTAAAAACATTACAATAATTTGTTTCTTAAGCATGAAAGTACAATTTCCTATCAATTGTTTATGTGTGGTTGTGCAAACTGGTCACATCTAATGAGGCTAACTGAACTTATCTGTCATTCTCTGCCATTACTGTGTAATGACAATACGGTATGCAAAGGGCCTGGTGCAGAATGCTGCTATTACGTAAGATGGAGGTCCTTCGCTAAAATGATCTTTTTGAAGATTCCCTGTTGATAAAAAAAGGGATGTGACGTAGTGCATAATAACTGAAATCCCTTCCCAACAGTCCCTGGGAAAAAACATCTTCAGGAAACATGTTCATTTCCTGCAATAAGTAATCATTTAATTAAGGAACAAAAGTAACAGGAGTCAAAAATGCTTGCAGCTGTGTTTGTTAGACAATATATAAAAAAAGAATGAAATTATAATACATTAAATTAGTTTTTAGAACATGAACTTAAGCGTTTTACAAACTAATTGTGGTAAGTTCAAAATGTCTTGTCAACGTAATACTGACTGACAGTGCGTCATGTCCATTATGTCAGAGGCCTTGGAATGGTAAAGCCTGTACATGCACATCTCCTTTTCCATGATAGACTGCAAAACAGTTTAAAACAAGTGGTAAAGGAGAGTAGTAGGTTCTTTCAAGTAGTTTTACTTCAGTCTTTTTCAGCAGCTAATCCCATTCAACAGGCCATTGCTCTTCTGGCTTCAAGGTGAAGAACACCTCTGGTGTTTCCCTCTTTATTGAAGTGCTGCAGAGTTTTCATCCGCAGTCCTCCTTTCTCATAAACATCAAGGTATCCAGGACTGAACATTAGGGAAAGATGATTCCCTGACGCGTGTTCAGCAGCAATATCAAAAAGTAAGGGCAGATTCTTCTCAGAAGAAAATTTCTACGGCCTGTGAAATCTAGGACAAATAAGAGACGTTTTTAAACTACTTCAACATTTAAAAAATATACAATTTAAAAAACAATCTGGTTTAGATTATTAACTTTTTTAAAATCAATGTTCATTCTCTTTAAAGGCACATTGACAGTATTATAGGCTATTAGCAACTGTAAGCAAGTTTAATTTTCATCGACACATTTCCACATGCATGCCATGACTGCAGCGCAGTTACAGTTCTCAGGGTCCAGCCAAGCCATTCTGCAGTTATCAGGAAATGCAAATGTAAAATGTACATGGAGCTTGTTTTTGGTTTTTTTCTCCTTTAGGAATTAGGCCACAGTTTTTATTGCCAGTAACATTCTTTACTGAGCCATGATCTTACTATTTTGTAAGAATAAGGCTAGTGCTTTGGAAAATAGGAGATATACTGTTAGATTAATACATGATAGTCTCACTGTCTGGAATATATATGCTCTTGCTCTGTAGGTGTGTTCTCTTAACTGAGTGCAATTGAAGTCCCAGTCAGTTGTAATACTTCAGCAGTAATTGTAAATTGTAAGTCTGTTTGCTCCAAATATCCTGACCAAATTTGAAAGTGCATCATTGTGATCTGCTTAAATTTCCCATGTAGCTCAGTTAGGAGAAGGTATTTTTTAATTCTAGTCTTAACTGCACCCTTTAATTTTTTCCTGTATTCCACTCTGTTAATGCAGCGGTGTTTTGCCATATACACTGAGTCTGAGCTCTGCAGTGTAAAAGGGCTCTAAGAGTTGAATGGACACTCTAGAATTCTATCACCATAACATTCAGATTAACGTGCATTGTATTATGACTTGTGTATTTGCCTAGATCGTTGCCAAGCTCAATTAAGATCAGATTAATTCTAGCTCAGAAAAATGGAAATGCTGGTCTGCCTTCCAGGAAATGGGACTGCACACCAAGTTCCTAAGTACAGTGTTAGGCAACTTATTTTAGCAGCAACAGAATGCTTACAGACCTGGCAAAATTACACTGTGCTATCAGCAAGTCCCAAAATTGTGTTTTACGAGTAATAGGACTCACTTAACAGACATCGCAAAAATTGTACAAAGTAACTGCTTTCTATTTAAATTTTTCTGTAAGCAACAAAGTCTTTTTGCATAGAGCTTAATGACTTCTCTCACAGTTGCTGTCTGGTGGAAAACTTCAGTGGTTCCATGAATGTTTAGACATAAATCTGTGATAGTGCTGTGATGAGGCAAGGGCAGGACTTGCCAGACACTCAGTGGCCCAGCCACTTGGGCAGTGCCAAGAGTGCAATCCAGTTTTCTGTCTTGCTTCTGCTTGTCTGCCACTAACTGTGCTTTTCAGAACTGCACCTTCCAGTAGCAATTGGACTGCTGTTCAAGTGATGCCAATCTACAGGCTCCATCTTCTACACCGAGTCTAGTATGTATTATGTATGGGCATTACTCCCCTGCTAATGAGGGAATCAGAGCAGTATGCAATGATGTTGCATGTTCAAGTGCATTTAAATATTAAGTTTTTTAGGTTTTTGGTTTTTTTTTTGGCTGTTGTACCCTTTATTAGCAAGCAATGGAAATAAACAGCTGGAAGACTGACCTTGTCAAATGTTTACTTGATGCATGTACTTCCATTTCATTACTTTTGTATTCATTTAGCTCTTTCCGAATTGCTGCCTAGGAATTGAAAATAGAAGAGAGTTAACAAATAATTTTGTACTTATAAGCACTGTAAAATAGCAGTCTCACAAAGCAGAACATGAGTTTCATTAAGTAGAAATAATAGGTGTTGTGTACAGCAAGGCATACTATGCCAGTAGGGATGCTGAATATTTAGGTTATATAGATTGCTGATGATTTTATGGATTGCTAGAGAAGAGCTAATATAGGAAAAGATAAAATATTGTTCCTTTTCTATGTAAGTCTTCTAAAGCCATTTATTACACTTCTTACTTGGGAAATACTGGAATGAAGAACAAAGAATTTGATTTCCGCCTCTCAGACCAAAGCAGTAAGTAATCCGGCCGTGTATTTGCCATCTTATCCAGTAATTATCCTCGCATCTGCACTTGTTCTATTTGCTGCATCCCTGAAACTTCAGAACTCCTTATTCAGCAACTGTTCTAGCTGGAATCATGCTGAACTCTTTTGGTTGTGTCTCAGGTACTTAAACGTGAAAATTAAATTCATGTGTAAATTAGTTATGTGGCAGGTAGACGGAGCAGAAACGATTGCTTGTTTATGCTTGTGAAAATGAAAGATCAACCAACTCCACGATATTCACAGGAAACGGGAGAGGAAATATTGCATGTTTCAAAACATAGTAAAGGGCATTTGCATGTCTAAGAAAAAAACTTCCAGTTGGAGGATGAATGTTAATATTGTGTGCTCACTGGAAGTGATTTTGAGTTGCAGCCTAAAGCATGAGTAAGGACTGTATCCACCTTTCCCTCCCTCCCCGCATCAATGGATAAGCTGACCTTTATAGTACTAAACAAGCATTTTTTTATAAATAGCATTTTTTATGACAGTATACAATGGTCAGTGTGTTTACAGCATATCAAATAACCATAATGTTTACAGAGGTAAAATGTCCTTGCAGAATCCAACGTGGCTTTTTACACAAGCCAAGAAGAAAGCAATAATACTTTAATTATGTCAGTACCTTATCGGCTGCTGATAGTCTTGTCCATGGTTTATCTGCTCGTCTGTCATAGTCCTGTGCTTTTGCCACTTCTACATAATCACTGAATCGAATCAGGATCTTTCTGTCTCTTAGTTCATCTACTGTAGGTCTCTGGTTAAGCTGCATTAAATAGTTTTGTAAAATAGAACCAATATTAGTAACCAACATTTAAAGAAACTGTGCAATATTTTCTGCTTGCCATCTTAGCTTAGTGTGCATTTATGTGTCTGAATAAAAACACCTTGGAAATTCCATGGAACCATTAAGTTCTTTAGACTATTGTTATGGGAGTAATAATTGTTTGAGTTGAGGTGTGGGCTACAGTGGCTTTATAATGGAGAAAAGATGAAAATATTTTGACCTTGAAATTTATAAATTGCATAAATTTAGAACAGGCAAAGGAATCACAATGAATTTGTTACATGTATAATGTAGGGTTTCTCTATTGCATTCAGCAGCAGATTGTGCAAGGCTTTCAGGATCAGACCAGTTTGGATGTAACAGGTTATTGGCATATTTGGCTTATAGCTCCAAAAGGGTTTCCTGGGAACAGAATAACAAGATCTCAGAACACCTTAAAATGCAAAGAGAAGCGTACTGTGGGAGCACTTCTGGTGCTCAGCAGGGAGCCAGTCCAGCTCTGCTGCAAAGAACAAAGTACTGCTTTTATAGCAGCATAGTTGTGAAATATGCAGAGTACAAGCAAATACTATTTTTTCATTTAAAATTTCTATGTAAATATTCTATCAGTTCTCACAGCTGAGACATGGTAGATATTCATATATTAGATACCACTATCTCAGGCACTGCTGAGGAGAAAGTACAGTGTAATAGTGACCTAGGTGACGGTTCAGTGTTTTACTAGCTTTCTAAAATCTAATGGAAGGTATTGCAAGATTTTACCTTTCTTGTCAGTCTTTGTTTGATTTCCCTTCTTTCTTCCTGTTCGGTTTGATCGTTTCGTTCTACAGAGAATATAAAAAGAAAAAGGATGATTTTCTTCATGAGGAAGAACAGTAGTTTCCAAAGCAATAAGAGTTACATCACATAAAAATTAGTAGCTGGCTCTTAGCTGTCCGTTTTCTTAGTTCTGTACACCTCTGGTTCTCTACTAGAAGGTACAGTCACCTCTCTGTGAGGACAAGGTACTGGTGCCAATGACAGCTTTTCCTGAGCTCTGAACTCGAGTTCTGATTTCATAAGCCAACGTTTAGATTTAAGCAGCCACACCAACTCTCAAATTGCATGAACTTGAGAAATAAAATCAAAACATTCCATAGTTAATCATCATTTTTTTGTATTCTCTGCTTTGCTGGAGCCATTATGTTGCAGTAGATATTGAAAAGACTTACTGCAGGAGCTTCAGGGAAAGTAATGTTCTGCCCTGTATAACCTTAATTCTCAGGCTACTTCTTTAGATGGTCACACTGGCACAGTAACTATCTTTGACTTGCATGCTTTTTGTCTGTGCCACTAATATCCGAACCTCTTTATCCTCACAAGTTTTCTTTTGTAGCATTCCATTCTAACCTAAGCCAGCTAGCTTTTGTGTGTTGTGCCTATTAGCATTCAAGCCGTGACAACTCCTACACACTGGGTCTAAAAATAGAGTGGAGTGCTGTAACACTGTGTGAAATATATCCTTTGCCTTGGGATACGAGGTAATGGCATTTCTATTTCCAGTACTATCTGTTACTAAATTGAGGCACGAGCCTGTGACCTGAACAAAGCTGGAGACCTAGAGAAAAATGTTTAACCACTCTGGGATTCTCTAGTTTATTACACTCCCAGTATTAAAAATAATGTGTGTGCTTTAACTTGCCTTAAAAAGACACCAGCAGTGCAGATGAGTTTCCAAAATGATATTTTTTGTAATGAAGGATTCTGTATTTTTACGCTCATTTGATTACAATGAAATGCCAGCATAAGTATCAGCACAGAGTAACGTAGCAGTGCACAGCCACAACTGGCTGTAGCAGAAAGGTAAATCATATGAATATAAAATATTGTAACATGCCGCATTAAAATTCAGTGGCAAGGCAATAAAAAGAGACTAGAGCAACCAAAATTAGTGCTGTCTCAGGGACTAGAACCGCTTTAAGTGAAATGCCTGAGAGGAGAATGCCTTAAAAACTAGATTGTATTCTCAGATACAGAAATTTTTGCAAGGATTTATTAATATGCTTAACTACACTTTAATTCACTCATTTTAGAGTATTATATATTTTCATATCTAGATATTTCTACTAAAAGACAATAATTTTCTGTGGTATGGTGCCTTTTAACATATCACAGTCAGAGATGCACTGAGAGAATTCCAAAATAAAAAATATAAATTTCTGACTGGAAAATTCATTTTCACATTTGAATATGCAAAACATTATATAGTGACCCTTTCCTGTGATACATTCAGACATGCTCAGTGCTTATTCCCAGCTCCAAGAAAATGCCAAATGTGAAAACACGAGAAATAATTCATCTGGAAAATACAAAGCAAGATAAGATAGGAACTGCTAGCAAAGGCAATACAAAATTCAAGCATTATTACAGAGACAAACCAGAGAGGTTTTCCCTATCAGCATCACTCTGCCCACACATAGCTACACTCATTAGGGAGGGCTGACTTTATAAATCTCAGTAGGGAGATGCTCCCAATTATGAAGTGACACGTGTCGTACTGTAATTCACTTTTTCTGCTCTGTGAGTTATTTGGGCAATTCTTAGCTGTGCATAACACTGAAACAATTCCTGGTGATAAGAATGAACTGGGGATTTAAGAGATGCTGCGTTCTTGAATATCAGTGTCAGCTCTCTGCTAAGTCCAAGAACGTGTAAACACCTGGGTCTTGATTTTAGTTGTGATGGTAAACCAGCAATATTTCTATAATTAAAGCAAAGGATGTAGAAGTTCAGCAAAACTGTAAGAAAGTCTTGGCTTTACATTTTCCTTAGCAGAGTGTGTTACTAAGAGATGCTAGGAAACTCATGAGTCAACTGTACAAACCCTTACAAACTGCAGGATGCTGTAGTGATTTCACTGAAGAGTATTTATGTTGCTACATCTTTGCACGTCAGTCCAGGTGTTTAAAAACCATGACAAGAATTTCTATATTCACACTACTATCAGGAAAGTTTGCAAATTTCCACATTCACTCACAACGGAGCCTAGAGTTGTTGTATCTATCCAGCCTTTAAGATTACTGCTGTCACAGCTTAGTGATAACTTCAGTTCTTGACAGGTTCTTAACTTTTTATATAATGGAACAGGTAACTGGAATAGAAGTGACTGATCACAGAAAAATCTGTATAAAGCCTGAGCAACTGAACTGAAGTCAATGGATTTGCTTCATGTCAGGAGCTCCTTTAAATGAGATACAAATCTAGACCAGTATGTTTAGCCAGCATTCAGGAAATATCTTTAATTCTGCTTTATCTTCTTTCTGCTTTATCTCTCTCTAAGCTCATTATATGAATGTATTCAAACTTTTATTATCAAAGCTTGTCAGTTTAACCCAGATTAAGGATGTAACCAGCATTCTTCAAAAACTAAACATAAAGGAAAGATTTTTTTGATAAAGATCAGCCCTGCCTTAAGGAAATAAATAAAAGAAAAGAAAAATCACCTAAAAACAGATCTTAAAGGGGATCTGAGGCACTCTTGACTCTTGAGAATCTGGTTCCACATTTCAGAATCTTGCATTAATGTTTTTTTTCTTATCTCTTGTGTAGCTGACAGGTAAATTTAGGCCAAGTTCATCCATTCACATTTTCAAAGAATGCACCCTGTTTCTCATTTAGCTATGTACATTTGCATCCAATTTAAGCATGCACAGTGTATGCTCTGGAAGAGTACTGAAAATATAAGGTGACCGTGGAATCCCTTTATGTCAAAAGTGAAATAAAATCTACAATAACTTCAATAGCAACTGCATAAGTTTTTCCTTTAAACTAGGAAAGTTCCGAGACATTGAATTTTAGGTAACAAAATGTGGGTAACTTTTTTTTCTTAAGAACTGCAATCACATTGAAAATAAAACATGAATTAAATACCAAAGGCAACATTGTTTCTATGACATACACCACACAGTCATATTACATGTGGTCATATAGATGTTTTATTCATGTTTAATGAGAAGCAAACCATTATCGCATCATTCCATCATTCTGCTATCAGGGTGTTGTGCTGTTTGTTTGCTTTTTACTTTCAACACTAACTAAACCATAAAAATAACAGAAGCAATATTCCTTTCCTTCTAGCAGGTAGCTTCTCTCATTCTCCTATCTCAGACCCCCTCACAGAGAGAATTTCAGAGCTCTCTCTCCATCTAGATCAGAGGATTCCCAAAGCATCTACCACCTGTTTGATCCCTTGGCTGCAACACCAATCTTTAGGAAAAGAGTTTTGAGTTTCTGCCCTGTGTTTATTTGAAAGACATTGAGCAACGTTCTCCTGTAGCAGTATTTATAATAGGCCTGGAATTCTCCCTCTATAATTGTTAATATCTCAGAATGGTAGTTCTCTGACTTGTCTTTGGAAATGTCCTCACACCTCTGCAAGGATGCTTTGTCCACTCCCCTTTAGCCAAGACAGTCAATGGCTTCAAAAATGGCAGTCTGTGTGTCATTGACTGCATGATGCCTGGATGCTACTCCCCTCTCAGACACCCATAGCAGTGTGTTCACAATATACATTATTTCAAAGCTGGAATTTAAGCAAGTCTCTCTTTCCTGTGCTAAATTGCATGTGCAAATTCTCATTTAGCAAAGTGTGAATTCTCATTTCTTCAATATTTGAAACACAGAGCATGTTAAACATGAAAACTTTTGGGTACAGAAAATAATCCCGGTAAATTAATATGTGAAAAGAATATGTTTCACAGATATAATTGCTGGTTTCAGCAAATATATAAAATATTTTAAGAAGAAAGTACTCACGTTTAAGTATATTTCTTCTTTCTAGCTCCTCAACAGCAGGTCTTTGGCTGAGTCGCCTGCGGAAAAACACCAAAATGACATTTTGTACCATGCCTGTTCTTTGGAAAGTCTGCAGGATTCCAAGTTCTGGTTTGTGTTTTCCTTGTGTGTGTTTATGGGTAGGAGGAGAACACGAAATCCTTCTCCAGGACTGAAGGAGAAAAGAAAAAGAAAATCCCAAACCCAAGATTCTGGTACCAGAAAACCTTCTTGTATAATTTTTTGTCAAATGTCAGCAATGCAGGTAGAAGTTCTCCTCTAGTTTGCACTGCTGTTGGTGGAATGCTTCCTCATAACATGCATCCTTTTCACCACACTTTCCAGACGGTCAGATGGAATCAGTGCCCTCCAACGGTTAAATTCACTCTTGAGAGAGAGGGTTAAGGTGGTTTTCAAAGGAGTTTCACAGTCATCTTCTGTAGCTGTTGCTGCTTCTACCTTTTAATCTCTGTAGCAGCGGACTTCCTTTTTTTCTAGTAACACCAGTGATGCATTCTGACAAATGCAGACTTGCCAGAAATAAAGCTTTCCTGTGGTTTCCTGACTACACATCTAACAGACCAATCCAGCAGCTCTCCTCCTGCCTACTGAATAAAATTCGTGTGCTGCTCACTGCCTCATGCTGTCTGAACGGAGTGTCTTGTGCAGTTTCACCTCCCCTTTCTGTAGTGCTGCTTCAGGATTGAGTCTTCAAATCATATGATCAGTGCCATAGCGATTTTGTTCTGCATAGTAAATGAGATTTCCCCACGAGACACTGCCAATATCTGCAGAGAATCTCAGGTAATGGAACCCCTCCCCTAGGCAGACAGATACATACTGCACTCGCATTTGCCAGCGTTCAAGCAATAATCCAGCAAACAGATCAGAAGCAGTTTACGATGCTTCCTGATCTGTGCTCTGGCAGCATCAGGGATTCTCATTGTCTCCTCTGTGGCAGGTGTTACCAAGCCAGAGACTGAAGTTACAGACAAAGCAATACAGCAGGGACCACACTGCAAACCACGGTTGCAGTAATTATCCCTTAACTGTGCACGGGAAATAAAGGAATGATGATAAAGTAATGCTATACCAAGATCTGTATTTTACCAAATATAAAGGAAATGGAAAAAAAAAAAAAAAAAAAAAAAAAGAGGGAACTGATGAAGAGCAAGCATCTAATTCAAATTTCTCCTTGTTTCCTGACCAAATACACCTTTGTATTCAGCTCTGTGTTCATATGTTATAAGACCAACAGCACAGAATAAGAATGCCACTCCTTATCCTTTTCTAATTCCCCTGCAATCACTGCAAAGGCCAAATTCTGTTCTCATCTTTGGCAACAGGAATGCATCACAACTATACCAGGCTTACACCAGCAGAAATCTTACATCGTGAGTACAACTATTTCCGGACACAGCAACCTAATGCTCATTCTTCACACCTCACTCAGATTTTTCTCTAGGTCTCTGGATTTCTCTTCAGAGCAATGAGCTGGATATTCCAGCACTGGAATCTGCAATAATCCAAACTGAAACAGAAACTACGCTGAAATGCTCCACTGAAAGGTTTAAAAGTGTATCTCTAATCTATTACCTCTTCACTCCTCCCTCATTTCCCTTAATGTCTCAGAAATTATGCAGCTCTGGCTAGGTTTGTTTGAAGGAGATCAGTGTGCGTTTTATGCTATAACTCAGGGAAATTACTTACATGCTGGTCACATGCCTGCCTATCAAGCTATTCCTAATTACAGCCCTTCCATGCAAGATCCACAGATTCTCCAAGAACCTTCCATCAGAATTCTGAGACCTTCTTTAAACTGAGGGATTAAAAACCTAATGGAGAATGATCAAAGCACAAGAAGTATGAGAACAGATATGTAAGTGAAAGCTCTGTGTATTCGTACATATATTGTTATTGTATTTATATTGGTTCATTATTTAAAGGCCTGTTTCCTTCTTGACTTTGATAACATGGTGGGTGTCCAAAGAGAATGTTATTTCTGTGCACAACTTCAGCTTTACCCCAAGGAAAGGAAAAGATGCAGATACACACAGACAGAAATATACGTGTGCACCATACAATATTGCATTTTTGTGTGAATTTTTCAGAGATGCGAACAGCACTTTCAAGCTTTTATCACAGCCATAAAACCAGGAATGGACTTTTCTATCAGGGAAAGTGGGGACACGGTGAAAACACACCTGAAGTCATGATGTAATAACAAAGAGGCAACACTGCTGACATCTGTTGCTGCTGAGATGCAATGGCTTCTTGTATCTACCTGTTACATCAATATTTCTGTTCAGAAGGTGCCTCCAGCTGCTGTAAAACCCCTTCCATCTGCTTTACCTGCCATGAATGCTGCACTGCAGCCAGCCCCAGCTGGTTCCCAGACAAAATGCAGGGAAATGGTGAAGGCAAAGGGCCGTGGATCCTGCACCAGGGGCTGCTGACTGTGCTCAGGGGAAGCAGCTGTGAGCACAACTCAGACAGGTCAGGGCTGGAGGGACCACACGTCTCTGCTGAGCTGCACTGCAGTACAACAGGCACTGTGCGGCTCACTGTGCTCTCCTGTGTTCCATGTGCTGTGTTGCATTTTGGTTTTAATGTTAATTATTTCTCCAAAGTTGTTAAAACACAAAATTCCACCACTCTGCAGTGTCCCCTTTGCAGTGAGCTCAGGGCCCCCCTCACAGCCACATTGCCACGTTGGAAGTGGGCAGCCTGGCCCTGGGAAATGGCATCCTGCTCTCCTCTTCCCTTTGTTTGAGAGCAGGCCGTAAGGCAGGTGCTGAGAGAGACTGACTCCAGATGCTCTAATCTCTTGCAGTTTAAAAAAAGGGAAACTCTGCAGTATTATGGTTATTGGAAGTCTTTGCACTGCAGCCAGTGCGTGATCCCAGAGGATGAAGCAGGCACAGGACACAAAGGAGACTCCACAAAGGCTAAGTACCAAACTCCCAGTGGACTCTACATGATCTCCCCAAGCTTTGCACAAAGAGAATGCTGGAGCACAGAGCTGCAGGCCATTTCAGAGCACAGTGCTGATTTCCTTTCCTGGGAGTTTAGCAAAGCAGCTGCACCTGGGGATAGGCGGCTGCAGGGCTCCTGCCCTCCCCCAGCCTGGCCCCCCAGCTCTGGGAGTAGGAGCAGTGCAGAAGTCTGAAGGGAACCTTTGGTGTGGATGTGAGACAAGCACAGATGAGGATGCGTGAGTCCTGTGCTTTCTATTTCTATCATGTTTTCATGTGGGGAACTTTGAGCCTGGTGTGGCTTGGCCCACCTCTGTGAGGTAACTGCAGGCTGCTGGGAGCTCTAATGGAGCACACCGCCTCTGTGCCTTCACAGTAGTGCTTTCTTTTCAAGTGAATTAAGCTTAGATATGCATTTTCTGGTACTGAAAAGTTTTTTGTTTCTGGTTGATAGTGCTGTATTCTTGGGAGACACTGAGGTCCAGGTTTGGGGTTTTTCTGAATTGTCTGCTGAGGCACAAGTGTTCCCTCTGGGCAGCTCCACACAGGCAGCCATTTCTGCAGCTTGAGGGCTCTCAAGTAACTTGCAGGCAAATTCTGTCTCTGTCCAGTCTGCACACAATGTAAATGTCTGTTATGGATACTGCTATGTTTTGCATTAGCTTCAGGAATTCGCTTCTCCTTCTTCCTCCCCCCCAGCCCAATTTACACAAAAACGTGCCAAGGGCTGAAGGAAGCAGAGCTGAATCCGCAGTGCCTCAGCTGAGGTGGCTGCAGCTGCCTCACAGAAAGCACGCAGGGCTGGAGGTGCTGATGTTGCTTCCTTGTGAATGGTGTCTGTATGTGGTTCAAAGTTTGCAGTGTACATGTCAGCAATGCTACAAATCTGGGTAGAGATCAAAAGGTTGAATCAAAGGATTCAGAATCTGAATGTTTTGTCCCAATGAATGATAGAGTAGTTACCATAAATTTGGGGGCTGTGTTACCAGCCCTTTGTGCTGACAAGAGTGACAAAGCTTACGTGTTACTGTTGCTCTGTGCAAAACAAATTTAAGCCTTCAAGTTTGGGACGAGTTCTGGGAGGTGTTCTCAGTTCTTTTTCAGAATGTTTTCCTCAGTTAACTGCTTGAAAAGACAAATGGATTAATGTATTATGCATATGCGTACTCCCATATCTTGTGCAGTGCATCACCCGGGTGATGGGAGCAGCTCTGTCAGCTGTGCCTGGCTCTGAGTGCTGCCTGCAGGTGAGCCCACGTGTGCTCCTGCTGTCAGAGCATCTCGGGTGCTGAGAATCTGCATGTGGTTTCAGGATATTTGTTTCCTCCATGCAGCATGCACATGGGAATGCTGTGAGGTTCATGGATGCTCAGTGCTGGCTCTGAAAGAGGCAATAAATGTACTCGTGTCTGGCTGTTTCCCTTGACGCACATGTGCGGTGCATAGCTGTGGCAAACAGGCTGGCTGGGAGACAACGAGCCCGGCCTGCTGACCTGAGGAGTGGGAAAGTCTCACTTGGCAGGTCTGCTGCAGCCCTCCTTTGCAGGAGCTGATTTGAGGTGCCTCTGTGTAACATGTCGGACACGTGCATGGGTACAGATGCTGGACTTGGCTTCCAAGGGAAAACCACTAATTGCTCATCCCCTCCAGAGTAAGGTCACATGTCCTGAGCCCAATGACTCTCACACGTGTCTGTGAATGACGATCAATATTTACTTTGCACAGTCAGATTCTCCTTCATGTTCAGAGAAACTGATGTCTTTTAGCGCCAGCATTACACAAGGTTGGTGATATTGGAGTGTTACAGGTGACTGAATCCTCAGCAGTGTGAGGATGTGCGTATCACTTGGATCTTAGGGTCTGCTATCAGATGGGCAATGCATCAGTATCTCTTACAAGCAGGAGAGTGCCAAGTTCTCTGTCCTCGTAGTTAACCTTAGCAATATCTTTTGTCCTTTATGAGAACTGCAGCTCAGCAAAGCCACAGTGAGGTGTATCACTGGTGCATTTGCAGATTTGGGTGCAGAACAGCTGAGGAAAGACAAACGGGCAACAGGTACAGC